GTCTTGTCAAGATGAAACAACACTACACATGTGTCACTATTGCCAAAATGGAACAACACTACACGTGTCTCTATTGTCAAGATGAAACAACACTACACGTGCCTCTATTGTCAAGATGAAACAACACTACACGTGTCTCTATTGTCAAGATGAAACAACGCTACACATGTCTCTATTGTCAAGATGAAAGAACACTACACGTGTCTCTATTGTCAGGATGAAACAACGCTATACGTGTCTCTATTGTGAAGATGAAACAACGCTACACATGTCTCTATTGTCAAGATGAAACAACGCTACACATGTGTGTATTGTCAAGATGAAACAACACTACATATGTGTCTTTTCAAGATGAAACAACACTACACATGTGTCACTATTGCCAAGATAGAACAACACTACACATGTGTCTATTGTCAAGATGAAACAACACAACACATGTGTCTTGTCAAGATGAAACAACACTACACATGTGCCACTATTGTCAAGATGAAACAACACTACACATGTGTCACTATTGCCAAGATGGAACAACACTACACATGTGTCTATTGTCAAGATGAAACAACACTACAAATGTCATTGGGTAAAGATTGAACAACACTACATATGTATCTATTGTCAAGATGAAATAACACTACACATGATCTATTAATATTGTCAAGATGAAACAAACCTACCAAAGTGTCTATTGTCAAGATGAAACAACATCTTGTGTCTATTGTCAGATGAAACAACACTCCAATGATCTTTTGGCGATGTATCTAGGATAACACCCCTACCAATATCTATTGCCAGTCTAACGGAACAACGCCACCAGTGCATCTGCAAGTGGGAAAAGGCGTCCATGGCATCCCGTCAAAGGGGACTACGTTCAAGAAATTGCAACTTGACGTCCCTTGCACGCACTACTTACAACAGCTTGCTAGTCTGCCACAGGTCGCTATCAGCTATCAACATGGACCAACACAGCACGATTTTGACAAATGGTCATCGCAGATTTACCAGGTTTTAAAGCAATCAAACAAGCAGTCACTGTACAAGTAGATATCCTTGAAATTCAACACTGACATTGTTCAAAAGACAGTTCATATATATTTTCACAACTAGTACAAGTGTCTACTTACATGTAGAGCAACACAGTCGCCGACAGAGCAAGAATGAGATATAGCGGCACGTCCACCAGCCCCAAGATCTCCATGTTGTTGTGACGAGTTGCAGCCACAAACCTGTCTCACATGACCTCTTTATTCCAGAAGGTCATACTGACCTGGCTGGTGTCGTTGTACCGCCTTGCCCACTGGGCTCACAAATGTGGCGGGGTTATCAGAGGTTAGAAACTAGGTTGTGTTTGTTTGTGTTTGTGTTCATGTTGTCTCTGGTAAAGTGTATGTGACTGTGTATTTGGATACCTGTGTCTATGTGTCTGTATTTGTGTGCCTGCATATGCCTACCTTTGTGCCTGTGTGTGTGTGTGCAGGGGCGGATACAGCTTTTTGAGAAAGGGGGGGAGGGGTGCACACTATTGAGAAAAGGAGGGGTGCACACTTCATTTTCACCCGAGTTTCAATGGTCATTTAACAAACTTTCACCACAAAGGGGGGTGCGCACCCTGCACCCCCTGGATCCGCCTATGGTGGTGTATCTTGGCTTGTGTTTGTGTGAGTATTTTTAGTCTGTATATATATGCGTATGTTTGTGAAAATGCGCGGGGTGGTGGGGTTGGGGGTGGTGTGGGGTTGCTGTGTTTTTATTTATGTTTTAACCTGCCTGCCTATGTGTGTGCGCGTGCGTTTCCATTCATGTGTACCCCAACACATGTACATGGAATTAATGGGACTTGCGTGATTTAATTATTAAGTACTGCCAACTTTTCGGCTGGTAAAAAGATATGGACACCCCACTCAGGCAAAACACTGATTCTAGTCCTTGCACCTGATGAAGACTCCATCTTGCACTGTGTTTTGGAATGGCACGATTAGGGATCGAACCACCAGCCTGGTTCTGATCAGGTTAGGCGCTTTATGTGCGCAGTGGCGATGAACATACAGTGACACCCCTACACATTACACACCCCTTCTCATGACGTTGATCAACAGACATCTTTACTGGGTATTTGTTTTCAGGGTACATCCCTACCCGTACTTTGGACTGTTTCTTCCCACCTGTACCCCATGCTACACATCAAAAAGTACCTGGGTGACATAGTATTAAGTCTCGTCTCTCAATACGCTTTTCTATCTTTATCCAGCATATTTGCATTTAAGGTCTAAACTTCTAACATGAAAAGTATTCAACCTGCCAGCACATTCAAAGTAAACAAAGCAGGTTAGCGTTTGTTCTGCTTTACAGAAGGGCTCGTGACCTTCCTCTAGCATGTCTATAATGGACGCTATTCTGTATGAAGGCATGTCCGTTGATGCGTACACAATGTACGTCCTTGAGTACCTGTACACCGCCAGGGCAGGTGAGTGTACAGTACTTGCGCGGTGGGTGGAGTTGGTGAATATACATGATGTAGTAATAGCTGGTGTCAGTGTGTGACAGCCCCTCATTACCTGACTGTTAGGAAGGGTACTGGGGACGAACGAACAGACACAAATACCTCTGAGCTCATTTATCATGTGAATGTTTCTTAGAACCCTATTTATGTTAAATACAACCTTGCTGTTACGGATATGATAACTGAGTGGCCTGTAAACAATCTATATCTAAACCATGTAGATCAGAGGCTGAAAAACACGATCAGTGAGTCACGTAATGGGAGCACAGGGTAAGCTATCGGGAACTGGTTTACGTATCTGGGACACAAAATCGGATTACCTACCAAGGGCACTGAACTGGTAAACCTTTCGAAAACACAGAACTATTAACCCATCGAGGACACAGAACCGATTAACCCATCGAGGACACAGAACCGGTTAACCTATCGTAGACACATAACCGGTTAAGCTATCGAGGACACAGAACCGGTTAACCTGTCGAGGACACATAACCGGTTAACCTATCGAGGACACAGAACCGTTAACCAATCGAGGACACAGAACCGGTTAACCAATCGAGGACACAGAACCGGTTAACCCACCGAGGACACAGAACCAGTTAACCCATCGAGGACACAGAACCGGTTAACCCACCGAGGACACAGAACCAGTTAACCCATCGAGGACACAGAACCGGTTAACCTATCGAGGACACAGAACCGGTTAACCCATCGAGGACACAGAACCTGTTAACCTATCGAGGACACAGAACCGGTTAACCTATCGAGGACACAGAACTGTTAACCTATCGAGGACACAGAACCGGTTAACCTATCGAGGACACAGAACCGGTTATCCTATCATGAACACAGAACCGGACCACTAGATCTTGATGAGTCGTATCTTGGCCAGGAATGAGAGTTGGGGTAGTCATTGCCTGAGGTACAACAGTAGAAACTTGTTGAGTGCGTGGATGGGACGTGCTCTCTTTCATAATATGTTTACTTTGTGCCGAGGGGATACAGGGGAGGTTTAAGTGTATGTACACTGATTAAGTAATCACTGCTGTGGTGGCGGAGGGTTGGCTTTACTGGTTGAAGGTCATGCTGTTTTCACGGAGTTTCCATGATTTGCTTTCCTATTCGAAATTTTACCCACTGTGTTTTTGTGTTGTTCGGTACCCTGTCCTAACAACTGATAAGAAAGGATGGGAGTTTTTTAGATCAGTTTCGCCTGAAATTGGGAGCAGATTTCATTGGGAGTACTACCACGTCCACAACATGTTGACGTACACTTCAAGCGTGGTGCAGGTTAACTGAATGAGGTGTTTGAATTCACAAACAGGGAATGTTGACCAAACGTGGTTTGCTTTGTTGCTCACGCCAACGATGTTAGCAGTGGGTGCTACGGGTAGGGTAGATCATGCCTTTCTTGCTCCCACCTGGTGTTAGATATCTAGTGATCTAATGGATTCACTGTCAACAGCTCGTCATGATATTTGCATTTGTCTATTCCTGGCGTTCGCCTAACCCATTTGTCAAGTTTACTGATCTGTCGTTAATACTGGAGTAGAGACTGCACTTTGGCAGCTAGGCCCTATCATCAGCAGTGTTCAACATTAACTTTAGGTATAGCAGCTGAGGCGCACGTAAAATATATCGGTCCGTGCTTAAATCGCCATCACCATTACAGGCACATGATAAAATGAAGCGTGCATGCATCTATCACACACACACACACACACACACACACACACACACACACACACACACACACACACACACACACACACACACACACACACACACACACATGACATACAGACATACTCCTGCACACACATGCACGCACGCATATTCACACGCGCGCTAGTGCCCACACAAACATTAAATCACACACATGGACACATAACCCCATACTCAATCATATATTAACTCAATCATGGCTCAACCTCTCAATTATGCTTTGATACGATATTTTATGTTCTGAGGCTGTAGTACTGATGAAGGCATGGCTGTTTCTTTCAGTCTTTGTTCAGTTCAATGTACCGTGCTCTGTTATTGGTATATCTCGAATAATGTAGACACGTGTATACAGTGGGAGATATTTGAACACATGTATCTTGCTGGGTCATTGCAGATGTGTCCTCTACCGGGTTCATTCCTCCATGGCCTCATGTGTGCCATCTGTACCATGAAGTAGCGTATCTGTGCTCATACAGATTGCCTGGGCCCCGTTTCACAAAGCTCTCTTAGCGCTACGACTATCGTAAGTCAATGTTACAGCATAGGAGGTACGAGATCTGAGGCTTACGAGAAGTTTGTGAAACGGGGCCCAGGCACGCGGACAAATGGAGGTCGTGATGGTGTAGCTGGGGATTGATGGGGATATATTCAGTTGATGATTTGAAAAACAGGTCGATTATGATTGTGAACATACCAGCCTAGAGTTCAGATATTTTTGCTTTAGATTTGTGTATTCGTTGACTATTGTAAATAAGTGAACATGTAACACACATTGCGAATATACGGAAACATGTATTTAATACCGCAAAGTCATACAGATAATTGACTGATTAGATTGCAAGATTCTGGACAAACAATACACGTGACGTCTCGTCCATCCAGGCGACCTTGGGAGATAACAATTTAGGACACGGAAGCTTTATAAAAGAGTTGTACTCACTCTGTGTAGATCTGGACATTAATTAGTCAAGAAACAATTTAAAACCGAAACCCGAAACATCAAATGTTTCATCCTGTTTATGATTGTTTGGTATCTGTACTGTGAAACAAACATTATTGTCCGTACATTGGTTCGACTGTACAAGTAACATAAGGAATATTTACTGGTTAAAATTATTAAAGTCGGAACATTAAAACCTTTTAACAAAACGGAAAAGCAACATCATCTTCTTCTTCTCCAGATCAGGTTTTCATCAGCTGCATTCGAAGAAAACTGAAACACAAAGCAGCAGTGTATGAGATGAAGAATGATTTGAGAGGTATGTGCTGAAACTAAGAGCTATGCTTGACTGGAGTGCGAGGTGTGTGCTGAAACAAAGACGTGCTTGATTGACGTGCGATGTATGGGCTGAAACAAACAGGTGTGCTTGATTGACGTGACAGGTATGTGCTGAAACAAACAGCTGTGCTTGATTGACGTGACAGGTATGTGCTGACGCTGTGGATCCTGTCCAGTCACTTGCCATGTATATATTTGTTTGCCGATGTATTTATATTCTCATGTACTACCGTTGGTTGGTTGAGAAATAAACCTGTCTCTCTGTCTGTTAGACTGACTGACTGACTGAGTTTAGTTTTACGCCGCTTTTAGCAATATTCCAGCAATATCACGGGGGGGGGACACCAGAAATGGGCTTAACACATTGTGCCCATGTGGGGAATCGAACCCGAGTCTTCGGCGTGACGAGCCAACGCTTTAACCACTAGGCTACCCCATCGCCCCTGTCTGTTAGAATGACATGCGAGGTATGTGCTGAAACCAAAGTTGTGCTTGATTGACGTGAGAGAGGTTTGCTGATTCAAAGCAACAGTAAAACTACGACAGACTATGTACAGACTATTTTACAGGAACAATTGAAATGTGTAACAGAGAGATACTAAAAATCAACCATCTGCAGTATTCCAGAGATTTCCGACCAATCAGATAGTAATATATCCCGACATTTTATAGTTACGCTACACGTGGAACTCACCATTGTCGTGGCTATCAGGAACGGTTACTTTGAAGGGCAGCCCAGACTTTCTCTGACCAGACCGTGTCTGAACGGGTGTCTGTGTCTGTCTGTCCTGCCCCGAGGACCTCTTGGTTCCACGGGTCTGCTCAGCTGTTCTGGTTACAACCATCTGGTCCCTGACGCCATTGTAGTTCTGTCTGCTTGAAGACGGTGGTCGGGGCGACATTACTCCATTGCTGTCCATGTAGCCGGCAGTGTCATCAGCATCAACGCTTGAAGATCTGCTTTGTCGCCCCGAGGTCTCTCTACCATTGCTGGGAGTGACGTACCTAGTTCTCGCCCTGGTGGTTTTGTAGGTGGCTTCTCTAACCCCTCTCTCATCATCATAGCGATAGCCCTGTCGTGTACCATACTCATAACTGTTCAGAGTGCTCGAGTTAGCATGAGAGGTGGCTGTTTTGGGACGTGTGACTCTTGTCACCTTCACCTCCTCTTGGGCAAAGGTACTGTGGTAAGGACGGGCAGTGCGGTTGAATTCGGTGTAATTATCGAGCGACATCCTGCGCGGTTCATTCTTGTCCCTGAAGTACTGGATTGTGCTAGCAGGTCGATCTTGTTCAGATGCTTCTGGCCTGGTGATTACCTCGGTCTGAGGTTGTGACTGGAGTTGAGCGTGTGTTTGCCGGGGTTGGGCAGCTTCAGTTCGGGCTCTACCTTGTGACTTCAGTTGACCTGCAGCCTCTGGTTTTGCTTTTTCAGGGAAGTAGATTGCTCTCTTGGAACTCAGATCTACAGGTGTGGAGCCGACCTTGTCAACCACCTTCTGAACGTGGTTCAGGACAAATTCAAGGTGATCAATTTGTTCACCCTTCCTGTTGGTTTTCTTGACAGGCGATGCCCGCAAAATATCTTGAATTAAATCTGAAACCTTGAAATATGAATGAACAATTATAGTCGCTTATCATAAATATACAGACATTTAGGCAAGGTAAATGACCGTGACATCATTGACATCAATGTTAACAAAGATTATGGGAAATGAACTGTTACTTTACCTGACCACCCTCTACACAGGTAACTTTCATGATATCCTCAAATTTCAACAGCAGTTCCTTTCCAAGCTCGGTTTGGCTGGAAATTAAATAGTTAAATTAAACAGTTAAATAAAACAGTTTTACAAAGGCAAGACCATCAAACATAGATACTTCAGATAGAATATATGTGTGTAGCGTTAATCTAAAAATGTGTCGCTGGAAGGATACAAGTGTAGTTTCAAGGCTGGCTATTATTAGGTAACGTGTCTGAAAGACATGTAAACAAGTGCTCACGGAAAGAATTTTCCTCAGCCAGTTCTACTTTTGAGATTAAGAGCCAATACTCACGAGCGTCTGAATGTGAGCATCTTGTCCTCCACCACCTTCCGGATGGCCACGAGTGCACGTCCTGACTCGCGGAGCATGTACTCGATCTGCAACACCAGGTGTCATGGTAGGTCAGGTGTTCACTCAGTTACACTTATTCACAAGAAGCAGTATTGACATGAAACAGTTTCAGTGTCCAGGATTTCATGGTTGATGTTTTAACATTGAACAGTATCGCTCTGGCGGGGATTCAGGTGTGAACGTCTAACATCAGTATGTATCAGTATGTGCAGGGTTTAACATAACCCATGAATTTTGAGTATTGGACGCGATTTTTATCACAAATAAAAATCACAAAATATGCAGTAAATGGTACATGCTTTTCTTTTACCAGCACTACATACAGCGTGCGACAACTACCTGAAACTGTTGAGCTTTGGAGACACGCGAAGACCTCTTCATGAGCTGGAAACAAGAACAGCCGTGTAATTATAACCAGGTTTGCAGACAATAGACTAACCATGTTGTAGTTATAGATTTTGGTAGACCAGTTCATGGAAATATAAAATGGTGTGTCCTACACACAGGAATCTGTAGAGCGAGGACGTCCTACACGTGATATTGATCGTTAATTCTGATGCTTTAACATAGAATTACGATAGTCGTAATGCCAGGAACTCTTTGCGTAAATTAGGCCAGTTATTTGTTGTTTGTTTAACGAAGAAATCGACAATAATAAAGAGCTATGACGGCCGTGGGATATCCCACGACATCGGTGAGCGATGTAGCTATATATTGACCAACAGGCATACACACGCAATAAGATCACCTCATACTCCGCACTCATTAGTTTAACTTCACTGAGCCGAACTTCAAACTCCAGCAAAGCTTGCTGAAACACAGATAAAGCATACTGTGTAAATACGAATCAATTTGCTGTACAACATGATAGCATATTTACTGTAGAGTAGGCTACAAGTTAAAAGACTACGTTAATATGTTCAAAACAGAATGGGAGCCAAAACTCTAAGAATACAAATTGATCGAAGTTTCGTAAAATCTACATTTCTGGTATAATAAGCAGGAATATCCTATAATCGTTTTCGTTTTTCGTGTATCGAATATTTTGCATAACTAATTATGTGCGATATTTAAAACAGCTGGATACCATGTCATGTTTTACCTGTGCTCCCTGTGCGAAGGCCTCGTAGTTCCTTAAAGCGGCGAACAAGGGCCGAAGTGACGATCCGACAAGACTCCACAACATTGACTGGTCCTGTGTAGGAAATGGTTACACTGAGAGTAATGTCATCTTAATCCAAAACTAACAGGTACACGTATAATACATATCGGTTCACTGAGCGAGTGGGTACATTGACACTTGGGCCGTTATCACATAAATATAGTCCGCTGACAAACTGGAGAACCGTGTAGAAGAGCGTGGGCATTGATGCGCTGTGCAGTTGTATTCAAGGATATGAGGTGAGGTGAAATTGGGTTTAACGTCGTGCTTGAGAATATTTCGCTCATATGACGACGTGCATGCGTGTGTATGTGTATGTGCGGCTGCTTGTACTAGCCCAGACTTAAGCTGGTTTTATAGTGCTAGCCCACTGAGATACCATGCCGCAGTGAAGCATGAATACCCCACTCAGACACATTATACTGACTCCGAGCCGACCAGTCCTTGTTGTACCAATTAATGCCGAGCGCCAGGCAGGAACCAACAAGTACCATTTTTTTTTAACGTCTTTTGGTATGACGCCAAGGATATGAAGACACACAATAGTGAGTGAGTTTAGTTTTACGCCGCTTTTAGCAATATTCCAGCAAAACCACGACGGGGAATGGGCTCCACACATTGTGCCCTTCTGGGGAATCGAACCCGGGTTTTCGGCGTGACGAGCGAACGCCTTAACCACTCGGCTACCCAACAGCCCCGACATAGACAATAATACGGCCTGAACCAAGAACTAGTGTTTCCCGCGATAGTTACCCACACAACAATACTCACCAGCTATTTGGATCTCCGTGTCATCATTCAAGTCACCACTTAAAACAAACATCGTGCGCCTTGTTGTATTTCCGAATAGTCCCCTACACCCCCATTTGTATACGACCTCACTATGGTGGACTGGGTGGCCGTAGTATGTGATCTGTGATCTGTGTGGCATTGTTTGGCGACGACGTGGATTGTTGCACATGTCAGTGACGAGATCGCCTAACACACCTTTATTACTTACAGACAGTGAGTGAGTGAGTTTAGGTATACGCCTCACTCAGCAATATTCCAGCTATATGGCGGCGGTCTGTAAATAATCGAGTCTGGGACCAGACAATCAAGGGATCAACAGCATGAACATCGATCTGCACAACTGTGATACGATGACAAACCAGTTAGCGAGCCTGACCACCCGATCCCGTTAGTCGCCTCTTACGACAAGCATGGGTTACTGAAGATCAATTCTAACCCGGACCTTCACGGGTTACTTACAGACAGACAATCGTGATTAACAGTATATTGCTGTCTGTGACATGTGAGATTTACAACATCAATCACTACAGTTTCACACTGACATCATTCTCTTCCCACAGAGGTTACTCCTGTCATATCTTCCTCCGTAACCTCTGTTCTAATACGGCCATATTTCCCGGTTCTCGTAAAATCCCCTAGCGGCAAAAGATCGCAACACGAATTATCTCCCTTCTTTCTATCCAATCAGAACACGCGTTACATCGACTTAGATTCAACTTGACTAACACAAGCAAATGTGGGGCCACAAATATCCCCCCATCTGCCGGGGACTTGTGTTGATATTACACACAAGACGTTTAATGGCTAGCTTGTCCGTTGTCAACGAGGGCGATGGAGACGCCACTGATCCGCCATAACATGACTGAGTTCTGTCTAGAAGAAACGTTTGCGCATCGCGCAGGGGAAGAGGTTTAGTTTTCTCGAAGCATACGGAAATTACCGAGGCCTTGCGAATGATCACTTTTGAAACAACGTCGCTGATTGCACAACTAAATCTGATTACCTCCAATCACGAGTCTTGAACGCTCACACCATGAAAGGGCCGTATTAGAACAGAGGTTACGTAGGAAGATATGACAGGAGTAACCTCTGTAGGAAGAGAATGCACTGACATTGGCTCATGGGTATATCTGGTCAACAGTGACCGACTGACCTCGAGGTAGATCTTCAATTCCGGGAGTATCTTCCATGTCTTGGGGCACATGTCCACCATGGTGGTCAGTAGATGGGCGTTGGCGTCCTTCATCACCTCCATCTTCTCCATGTAGGCTTGTAGGGCCTTGGTGACCCGGGCCACGTGGCGCTGGTGGAAGTGTGTACTGATAGTCTCAACAACAACTAAGATGATCTTACCTATGTTAGTCCGTAGCAACAACTAAGATGATCTTACCTATGTTAGTCCGTAGCAACAACTAATTAGATAGTTTTACTAAAGTTAGTCCGTAGCAACAACTAAGATGGTCTTACCTATGTTAGTTTGGAGCAACAACTAAGATGATCTTACCTATGTTAGTCCGTAGCAACAACTAAGATGATCTTACCTATGTTAGTTTGGAGCAACAACTAAGATGATCTTACCTATGTTAGTCCGTAGCAACAACTAATTAGATAGTTTTACTAAAGTTAGTCCGTAGCAACAACTAAGATGGTCTTACCTATGTTAGTTTGGAGCAACAACTAAGATGATCTTACCTATGTTAGTCCGTAGCAACAACTAAGATGATCTTACCTATGTTAGTTTGGAGCAACAACTAAGATGATCTTACCTATGTTAGTCCGTAGCAACAACTAAGATGATCTTACCTATGTTAGTCCGTAGCAACAACTAAGATGGTCTTACCTATGTTAGTCCGTAGCAACAACTAAGATGATCTTACCTATGTTAGTTTGGAGCAACAACTAAGATGATCTTACCTATGTTAGTTTGGAGCAACAACTAAGATGATCTTACCTATGTTAGTCCGTAGCAACAACTAAGATGATCTTACCTATGTTAGTTTGGAGCAACAACTAAGATGATCTTACCTATGTTAGTTTGGAGCAACAACTAAGATGATCTTACCTATGTTAGTTTGGAGCAACAACTAAGATGATCTTACCTATGTTAGTCCGTAGCAACAACTAAGATGATCTTACCTATGTTAGTCCGTAGCAACAACTAAGATGATCTTACCTATGTTAGTTTGGAGCAACAACTAAGATGGTCTTACCTATGTTAGTTTGGAGCAACAACTAAGATGATCTTACCTATGTTAGTCCGTAGCAACAACTAAGATGGTCTTACCTATGTTAGTTTGGAGCAACAACTAAGATGATCTTACCTATGTTAGTCCGTAGCAACAACTAAGATGATCTTACCTATGTTAGTTTGTAGCAACAACTAAGATGATCTTACCTATGTTAGTCCGTAGCAACAACTAAGATGATCTTACCTATGTTAGTTTGGAGCAACAACTAAGATGATCTTACCTATGTTAGTCCGTAGCAACAACTAAGATGATCTTACCTATGTTAGTTTGGAGCAACAACTAAGATGATCTTACCTATGTTAGTTTGGAGCAACAACTAAGATGATCTTACCTATGTTAGTTTGGAGCAACAACTAAGATGATCTTACCTATGTTAGTTTGGAGCAACAACTAAGATGATCTTACCTATGTTAGTTTGGAGCAACAACTAAGATGATCTTACCTATGTTAGTTTGGAGCAACAACTAAGATGATCTTACCTATGTTAGTCCGTAGCAACAACTAAGATGATCTTACCTATGTTAGTTTGGAGCAACAACTAAGATGATCTTTACTATGTTAGTCCGTAGCAACAACTAAGATGATCTTACCTTTGTTAGTTTGGAGCAACAACTAAGATGATCTTACCTATGTTAGTCCGTAGCAACAACTAAGATGATCTTACCTATGTTAGTTTGGAGCAACAACTAAGATGATCTTACCTATGTTAGTCCGTAGCAACAACTAAGATGATCTTACCTATGTTAGTCCGTAGCAACAACTAAGATGATCTTACTTATGTTAGTTTGGAGCAACAACTAAGATGATCTTACCTATGTTAGTTTGGAGCAACAACTAAGATGATCTTACCTATGTTAGTCCGTAGCAACAACTAAGATGATCTTACCTATGTTAGTTTGGAGCAACAACTAAGATGATTTTACTTCAATTAGTCTGGAGCAACAACTAAGACGGTCTTACTTGAGTTAGTCCGTAGCAACAACTAAAATTGTCTTACTTAGATAAGCTCGGTGGTTTATCTTGCTAAGATAATCCGTGAAAACACATCTACTAGTATTACCTATTATCATCTTAATATTTCAGTTCCCACATCTCGACGATGAGCATGGTACAAACGTTTGTTTAAGGATGAGAGTTGTGAGTATCTCCGTATAAAACATTTACTGGATTAAACTGACATAAACTTACCGGAGGTCCTTTGAATATATCAAAATAGGAGGGGGTGTCCTGTCCCTTGTCTCCGGAGGCGGGCTTGTCCATCTGAATGATCGCAACACATCGACATGAGTGAGTGAGTGAGTTTAGTTTTACGCCGCACTCAGCAATATTTCAGCTATATGGCGGTGATCTGTAAATAATAGAGTCTGGACCAGACGATCCAGTGATCAACAACATGAGCATCGATCTGCGCAATTGGGAACCGATGACATGTGGCAACCAAGTCAGCGAGCCTGACCACCCGATCCTGTTAATCACCTCTTACGACAAGCATGGGTTACTGAAGATCAATATTCTAACCCGGCCCTTCACGGGTAACATCAACATAAAATGATATGATATGATAATAGTGTAATACATATAACATGTATGTAATAGAACGTTAAAGTTTCCCATGCTGAAATCAAAAATAAAGCTGCGAAAAGAAGCAGGGTAATCGCAGGGTAATCGCATTATATGTTGTCAAAATGAGTTTTAGAATGCAATAATAGTAGATAGAACATACATTGTCTGACATCATTTCACTGGCCCGGCTACGTTGATAATGACTTAAACATCACTGTGTATATTATTAAGTCGATTCGGCAGTTACCATCGATACTGATCTTTCATAATATTGTAGGTTATCAGTTTCACTGAGGAAACATACAGGTTTTTCCCCGAAATGGTTCCATTTATATGCGTTTTAACAAATACATGTTTACTAAGATATTGTAGACGTCTTGCAGGGATATGAGCGTCACTGAGTGTAGACTGATCCCGCTGAGGAGAATGGTGTGACATGTTGATTATAGAGAGCTAATTATAGGACGCACGATCTAATCAAAACTACGCGCAGTCAAAGGCGACCCAAGGATCGAGTGGTCAGTCGCTGTGACTTGGTTAATAACATGTCATCGTGACCATATGGCCTAGATCGATCACTCATGCTTACAGTAGCAGTCATGCACCGGATAGTAATAATAGAGCTGGCATATTGCTGGCATAGAGCTGACATAGAGCTGGCATAGAGCTGGCATATTGCTGGCATAGAGCTGGCATAGAGTTGGCATATTGCTGGCATAGAGCTGACATAGAGCTGGCATAGAGCTGGCATATTGCTGGCATAGAGCTGGCATATTGCTGGGAGCGACGATGAACAACGATCAAATACAACAAATGCGCATACAACGGGACGAATTCCCACTCAACATCTCAGATTTTGAAAATGCCAGAGAAGTTTGTTCTTTATTTATCTATATATTAACGGTGGCTTGGTCGCTTGATAGCTGTCAGAGTGGCCAGGGCCTAGATTTTCGAAGCTCTCTTAGCGCTAAGATAGGCGTAAGTGCCATACATTAACATTAACCTACGACTATCTTAGCGCTAAGAGAGCTTCGAAAATCTAGGCCCTGGCCTTCTCCGCGCCGGTGGTCATCGGTAGTTATCCACACCCTACATCCACTGTGACCATTCGATCCCGACCTGTCTTGCATTTCCATGAAACTGATGTGCCATGCGACGCCCTTGCCGGGTTCATGGACCATGTAGCAACAACCGACCATTGAGGGTCGGCCGGGGGCAATGGGGGACCTCACTTATAATTTATTCGGTCGATTTATACACGTATGTCTTGCGTATATTCCGTGTGTCTCAACATGAGAACTGAATTGCAAAATACCTCAAAATCGATAGGAGTCTAGTAAATATCAATACGGTGCGCGAAAAAAAACCTATCCAACATTTGTTATTTGTATGCCCATCACTGGAAAAAGTTGTTCAAGAGACTGTCGTGACCATATGCATGGCTACACGTTGACATCTTCACAGGAGGGGTGCTCAACGGAAGGGAAAATAGAGCAACCATGTTCTCATTTGGAGACAAACGGACAGTAGCAGACATAACACTCCAGGGGCGGATACAGCTTTTTGAGAAAGGGGGTAGGGGGCGGTGGTTGCACACTCTTAAGAAAGGGGGTGCACACTTCTTTTTTGCAATGGTCATTCAACTTTCCTCAGGATCCGCCTATGCACTCTGTTTATATATACTGGCTAACTAGCAAAGTGTCAAACAACTATTTTCTCTGCTATCGTTAGTTAGTGGCAGTAAATCGAATCATTGTTGATACTAATAGAAGTCAATACTGAAATTAAATTCTTTTCACGCCAATCCATTTTATTAGTATATATACGTTCAACTACATACGTATAAAAAATATGTAAACAAGACTGTGTAATGGATTATCGAAGTTTTACCGTAAGTTGTCTGTGTAGTGGGTATAAAAGATAAAACTATCAAGACTTTCAATACATCTGTTTCTGTTCGAAATGTAAAACGGAGTGAGTGAGCGAGTTTAGTTTTACGCCGCACTCAGCAATATTCCAGCTATATGGCGGCAGTCTGAAAATAATAGAGTCTGGACCAGACAACCCAGTGATCAACAACATGAGCATCGATCTGCGCAATTGGGAACCGATGACATGTGGGAACCAAGTCAGCGAGCCTGACCACCCGATCCCGTTAGTCGCCTCTTACGACAAGCATGGGTTACTGAAGATCAATATTCACGGGTCTGTAAAACAAAAGATAACACAATATCCACATCATTTGCAACTTCACTGAATGGGGTTGAGATCACTCGCTGCTTTTCCGATATGCAACGCTTTCATCATATGTTATTTCAGTGCTGAATATATCTATTGTATTTATATTTAGAAATATTTCATGCCAGCTGGTCCTTCTCCTCTGGTCTGTTTTTTAAGGACATGCATTCGAAACAACCAGTCTTCTTAACCTAAGTTCGTTTGAAAGACTTGAAAGGTACATACATAATTCGTTACTACATGTCACAAGCAGATTGAGATCTCACCTTTGACGTAGATCTGCGCCTGCACTACGCCAAGTCGGCAATGTCGAAGGGCGGAAGGAATGACGATGTCCTTCTATGACGTCACAGTGTTTGTTACGTCATTGTTAATAAAAGTGGAGCGCAAAGTGTATGCGGAAATGAATTTGGTATTGAAATATTCGTAGGTTGTAAAATAATTAAATAACAGGAACAGTGAACCTGTGTCTTCTCGTTGTACAACAAATCTATACCGTTACCCCTTACTGTGGGTTTAACAGCTTGTGTGTTTTGTAGCAAGCCTTGCTTCAAGCACTACAAGCCCATTCAGTAGCAGCGCTAACCGCCTCTCAGTGCTTCGGCCATTTATCTATTGATATGCTTTTCTCATCTCCAACCTCCACCAGCAAAAATGCAGACGGGTGAAATTTCATAAAAATGCAAAGAAAAATGTTTTGTATTACTTATTCAGGAAATTTTATAATTTATATCACTTAGTAATAGTCTTAAATTAATTTATGATGCAGATCAAGTTGCTTTGCTTTGGAAACGTTGTTTAAATAATTGTACATGAAAGATCAAGCCATCCCGTTTTCTTATGAGCATGCAATGGTAAGAGGATATTTGTTTTTCATATCTGGGTATAAATATCCCCAGCGGCGGGTACAACTGTATTATTTCAGGCCTGAATAAATATTCAGGGCTGGCAGGAGATGGGAGACAGAATAAAACACCGACTGCCTCAGGATTCTCATACTGACGTTTCGTTATTCGTGTAGTGACAAGTCACACTCAGCATTTTTTCACCCACTACCCAACTACTGGAAATCTTTTGTTTACTGGAAAGAAAAAACAAATGTGTTGGCTTTCATATAATATATAATATGTCACCCTTTCTTTGTATTTAATACGCAAAAAATCAACATTTCCAGCAGTGGGTGAAAAAAATGCTGAGTCATGACTTCAGCGCCCTCTAGCGAAAAATTGGGAAGGGAAGCAGACCTTGGGTATTTGTTACCTTTTACATGGGCGGATCCTGGAATTTTAAAAGACCTTGGGTATGTGTGTGTGTGTGTGTGTGTGTGTGTGTGTGTGTGTGTGTGTGTGTTTTGAACCCCCATTGGCTCTGCCAACGCAAAAAAAAATGTTCAATGTGGTCTTAAGTCATTTTAAAAAGGGGGGTTCGACCCCCCGATCCACCAATGTTTTACATGGTCAAATTCCTACTGCTTAAAAACAGCAATACTGCATGCACAGAACGATCTTCTAGTACTGTCCCTTGAAGTTTTGCTTGAGAAATTCCATGTATTGTAATAACTTACTGACCCGTGACGATCCAGCTTAGAGATGGTCCTCAGCAACCCATGTCGTAAGAGGGGTTCGGTGGTCAGGCCTGCTGACTTGGTTCACACATGTCATCGTATCCCAATTGTATAGAAACTAGAAAGATGCTCATGCTGTTGATCACTGGATTGTCCGTATGGGAATATTGTTGAGTGCAGCTTTTAAACAACAACCAAACCAAACCAAATAACTACCTGCCTCTGGGAATCTCAATATCAGTCACTAGTGTTGGAGCAATGTCTCCATATTGAATGGAGTGAATCCTGCTTGAAAGCTTGGTATAAATATTGTTTATTAAGCTTAATAACATTTTTAGAATGTTCTTACATTTTAATGTCAGTAAAAACATCTTGTATATTACATACATTAATTTCCAGCTCACCTACAGCACTTTATATTCGATACAATTGTCAACTAAAAACTTCTTTCTTTTGGAGTAACAAACATGATCAACATGACAGAAGTGATTTGGGATTAATGCTGATTTTAGCAATATTCCAGAATTATTGCTTTCAGGGCAAACCAGAAATGTTCTTCACACGCTGTACCTATATTGAGAGTTGAACCTGGCCCAAGACATGACAAGTGAACACTATTACCAGTAGGCTACCTCACCATCAGCCATCTAACTGGTATTAACATGATGATGGTGACTTCAAGCTCAAAGACAGATTTTTTACACACACAAAAAAGCAATTTCTCTGTATGGGGACTGAAGATAAACATCCCGAGAAGCGGCTACTGTTCTTATGACAAGTACTCCAACATAACCTGTGTACACAATAAAGTCAAGCTTGGTTCATGATGAAGTAATGGACAGTCTTCATATTATCACACGGCAAACACCACAAAGGAGTCAAGAGGCAGGCTCTTCTACAGGTTTTCTATAAAACGTCCACCGCTGACCAGTGCTCTTCAGTTCCAGGTCCAGTTGGTCAACAGCCCAACTGAAACAAACAGGGAGTGAATACACCATGTATGGGAGGGACTTAGGTAATATACCAGGAGTGAATACACCATGTGTGGGAGGGACTTAGGTAATATACCAGGAGTGAATACACCATGTATGGGAGGGACTTAGGTAATATACCAGGAGTGAATACACCATGTATGGGAGGGACTTAGGTAATATACCAGGAGTGAATACACCATGTATGGGAGGGACTTAGGTAATATACCAGGAGTGAATACACCATGTATGGGAGGGACTTAGGTAATATACCAGGAGGGATACACCATGTATGGGGACTTAGGACTTAGGTGAATACACCATGTATGGGAACTTATAATATACCATGTATGGGAGGTAATATACCAGGAGTGAACCATGTATGGGAGGGACTTAGGTAATATACCAGGAGTGACCATGTGGGAGGACTTAGGTAATATACCAGGAGTGAATACACCATGTATGGGAGGGACTTAGGTAATATACCAGGAGTGAATACACCATGTGTGGGAGGGACTTAGGTAATATACCAGGAGTGAATACACCATATGGTAGGGACTTAGGTAATATACCAGGAGTGAATACACCATGTATGGGAGGGACTTAGGTAATATACCAGGGCCTTGAATACACCTACTTGTCTTTTACCATGTGCTGGGAGGGACTTAGGTAATATACTAGGAGTGAATACACCATGTATGGGAGGGACTTAGGTAATATACCAGGAGTGCCTTTATCACCATGTTAGATGGGAGGGACTTAGGTAACACTGAGGTAATATACCCATGTGTGGGAGGGACTTAGGTAATATACCAGGAGTGAATACACCATGTATGGGAGGGACTTAGGTAATATACCAGGAGTGAATACACCATGTATGGGAGGGACTTAGGTAATATACCAGGAGTGAATACACCATGTATGGGAGGGACTTAGGTAATATACCAGGAGTGAATACACCATGTATGGGAGGGACTTAGGTAATATACCAGGAGTGAATAGACCATCTATGAATATATTATGTGTGACTACACCATGTGTGGGATCTGCGAGATTTGAGGGTTGATCTGCTGGATTGGCGTAAAGACCTGCCTTTATCCTTGAACCTGCACCTTTACTCCTACCTGTCTTTAGTCTGCTAGGCCTGAACGTAAAAGCTGCCTTTATACTTGAGGGACACCTACCTGTCTTTACAGGGACCCCTAAGTCTGCTGGCCTGAACATAAAGACTGCCTTTATACTTGAGGGACACCTACCTGTCTTTACCACTTAGTCTGCTGGCCTGAACATAAAGACTGCCTTTATACTTGAGGGACACCTACCTGTCTTTACCACTAAGTCTGCTGGCCTGAACATAAAGACTGCCTTTATACTTGAGGGACACCTACCTGTCTTTACCACTTAGTCTGCTGGCCTGAACATAAAGACTGCCTTTATACTTGAGGGACACCTACCTGTCTGGCCTGAATGTAAAGACTACCCCCTAAGTCTACCTGAGTCTGCTGGCCTGAACATTCTTAAAGACCGCCTTTATACCTTGAGGGACACCTACCTGTCTTTACCACTAAGTCTGCTGGCCTGAATGTAAAGACTACCTTTATCCTTGAGGGACACCTACCTGTCTTTACCACTTAGTCTGCTGGCCTGAACATAAAGACTGCCTTTATCCTTGAGGGACACCTACCTGTCTTTACCACTTAGTCTGCTGGGCCTGACTGCCTTTATAAAGACTACCCTTTGTCTTTCTAAAGCTGGCCTGAACGTAAAGACATTAAAGACTGCCTTTATACTTGAGGGACACCTACCTGTCTTTACCACTAAGTCTGCTGGCCTGAACATAAAGACTGCCTTTATACTTGAGGGACACCTACCTGTCTTTACCACTTAGTCTGCTGGCCTGAACGTAAAGACTGCCTTTATACCTGAGGGACACCTACCTGTCTTTACCACTAAGTCTGCTGGCCTGAACGTAAAGACTACCTTTTATACCTGAGGGACACCTACCACTTAGTCTGCTGGCCTGAGACTGCCTTTAAAGACTACCTTTATACCTGAGGGACACCTACCTGTCTTTAAGTCTGCTGGCCTGAACGTAAAGACTACCTTTATACTTGAGGGACACCTACTTGTCTTTACCACTTAGTCTGCTGGCCTGAACGTAAAGACTGCCTTTATACTTGAGGGACACCTACCTGTCTTTACCACTAAGTCTGCTGGCCTGAACGTAAAGACTGCCTTTATCCTTGAGGGACACCTACCTGTCTTTACCACTTAAGTCTGCTGGCCTGAACGTAAAGACTGCCTTTATACTTGAGGGACACCTACTTGTCTTTACCACTAAGTCTGCTGGCCTGAACATAAAGACTACCTTTATCCTTGAGGGACACCTACCTGTCTTTACCACTAAGTCTGCTGGCCTGAACGTAAAGACTGCCTTTATACTTGAGGGACACCTACCTGTCTTTACCACTAAGTCTGCTGGCCTGAACGTAAAGACTGCCTTTATACTTGAGGGACACCTACCTGAGCATAAAGACTTTACCTTTTCCTGAGGGACCTACTTGTGTCTTCTACCACTAAGTCTGCTGGCCTGAACACCTTTAAGGACTGCCTTTATCCTTGAGGACACCTACCTTGTCTTTACCACTAAGTCTGCTGGCCTGAACGTAAAGACTGCCTTTATACTTGAGGGACACCTACCTGTCTTTACCACTAAGTCTGCTGGCCTGAATGTAAAGACTGCCTTTATCCTTGAGGGACACCTACCTGTCTTTACCACTAAGTCTGCTGGCCTGAACGTAAAGACTGCCTTTATCCTTGAGGGACACCTACCTGTCTTTACCACTAAGTCTGCTGGCCTGAACGTAAAGACTGCCTTTATCCTTGGGTCCTTTCACTGGTATACGCAGCTAAAAAACAGGTCATAGAAAATCACAATATCTCTCCTCACAGAAAACAGATAATGGCTGAACAGCCTTTTCTTGTACAAGTTCTTTTTTTTCAAAAATGGCTAAATCAGTAAATGAAACTAAACACAAACACTTGCATTAGACCATGCTTTCCATGGTTTAGTTAAGTTTTACGCCTCATTCAGTAATATTCCAGCTACCGGTATATAGCGGTGGTCTGTAAATAATCAAGCCTGGGCAAGACAATCCAGTGATCAACAGCATGAGCATAGATCTATGCAATTGGGATACGATGACAATCAACAGCATGAACATAGATATACGCAATTAGGAACCGATGACATGTGTGAACCAAGTCAGCAAGCCTGACCACCCGATCCCATTAGTTGCTTCTTCCGACAAGCATGGGATGCTGATGATCAGTTCGAACCCCGATCTTCACGGGTCCCAGGTTCAAGACAACATTGGTTGTTTGTGATGACACCTGAGGCCACAAGAACAGAACAATGCCATGATCAAACAATATGAACAATGGCGGGTGATGTATGCTTCAACCCAAAAGTATACATAGAAAATATTTCACAAATTTCATGCTGTTATTGAAAAGGAAGTTTCCCTTCTACCGTTTATGAAACAGTAAGTTGTGACACACATGCATGGAATATTTGTGTTTTCTTTCAAAACAAGGTTTCAGCTATTTTTAGACATAAAGAAAATCTCCTTCCCTTATTGGGACATGATGAAATCATCCAGGTAAAAATCATTGTGTTAAATGCTATCAATATACACCATTATGATGTCACATGATGGTAGCTGCAGTTGATTCAGAGCCAGGAATTCACTGGACATTATACGTCATTATGCAAAAATATAGAGAAATATATATATCATCCAAAACATGGTTAAAGTAATAGAAATCACTCAAGTCTGTTGAATCCTAAGGACTCACACAATATCTCCATTGCACAATTTCCCATGCAAATGCACACTACTGTATGGAGCTTATGTTTTCAGGATTTGACATCTTCATGACAATTCATTTTTGACTACATCATGTGATGACTCTAAGAATAAAAACTTTAAGGAGAAAGTCTTGACAATTGTTCACTTGTATGTTATACAAGGCAGTGAGTGAGTATGATTTTACGCCACTTTTAGCAATATTTCAGCAATATCATGGCAGGGGGCACTTGTACCCATGTGGGGAAATGAACCCATGTCTTCGGGGTGGCGACCGAATGTTTAACCACAAGGCTACCCCACCGCTATACAAGGCAGTGTCAAATCTGATATTCACCACATATCATGCATACAATCTTACACTGGCATTCAGCCCATCCACTCGGTTATGTTGTGTGTCACCCAGGTCAAGTCTCTTGCTGACTAGTGGCTGACCAAATGCCTCCACTGCTGGCTGATAGTTCCTCAGCATCTTCATTGGTAGACGATAATAGTCTTCCTTCCTGAACCTTTCTGAAAACCATAAAGCATGCATGTTGCTATACCAATGGTGACACAACACAAGTGGGTTTTTTTAGCATTAACCATATATTTTACACTTAAAGACAACCTACATCTAAGCTGCCTTAACGTCTAAATGTTGTAATTATTGCTATTGGTGAAATAGACATTACTGCTGAATAACAGAAAAATTATATTGGTAGACATATATGGTTTCCACAAGTTGCCTACTTACTGAGGTAAGCAGGAGGCATATTGGGGTCAGTTGCAGGTACATGATGTATGATGAGAATGTGTGTGTGTGGGTTGGGGGTGAGAGGGAGAGAGAGAGAGTGTGTAGCAGGATGTAATGTCATTTGGGAGACGTATCAAATTTTATTGTTATCAGGTGATGGTGTTTTATGTATTTATATGATTATGCAAAGTAAATGTATAAACAGTTAAACACCAAAATTATGCTTTAGCTTTTATTGCTAAGGGTTATTCAACATTGTAATTGTCTGCAATCAGATTTACAAAGCTCACAAAAGATGTTGGTGGGGGTTTGGTGGTATCATTTTATGTGGTTTAGGTGCTTCTCAGTTACGTCCCTTTATGGAATACTGTCATCATTGAGGAAGTGAGGTGGTTCTGTCTGGCCACAGTTTCACTTGGGTATAATGTGATTAGACGTCCAGTCTCTGATTGGGCAAGTTTTTTATGCACATTTATGAACCTTAGTGTCTAAGCACATGGCACTTTGTGTCCAGGATGACGAGACAGCACTGTTACCTGGGATGATGTATTGATCTGTTGACTGCCCTACAATAAAAAAGTGTCCTCACCCCTTCCAGCATGTTTGTCATTGAAGCGCTGGTCACATACTATACTTCTCATCAAAACACAACAACGTATGGTATGGATTTACAACTTCTTTAATATTTATGTGTTGTAAATATTAAAGAAGTTGTAAATCCATACCATACATTGTGGTGTTACCTTCCAACTTCTAAATGCCCATCAAGCATCTGATTCTCATCAAAAGTTTAGACACACTAGTGTAAATATATCCACTTACTTCAGGCAACTGTTCTAAACTAAATTTTGCAAAATATGCCATTCTGTTTAAAGGTACTGTTTACACATGAACTGATGTATTGAAAAGATTATTGTCATGAGTACAGTAAATGATGAAAACCAGTGAAAATTGCGAATTCTTAACAAAACTTTACACCACAACGCAGCTGTTCACATGCATGATATTTGCACATGGTTTTCAGCAATTTGATGCATGATTCAGCTACATAAAGTTTGCTGTTGGTTCTCTCAAGTTAGTGGAGAAATCAATTTTCTATGTAACCATACATACATAACATATAGTGAGTGTTGTAAGTGAGTCTAAACTTTTGAAGAGAAGTATAGTTAAAGATATTGACAATTACTAGATGAATACATGAATAAATGATAATTAAAGATAACTTATTTTATTCTCTGTAGCAACATTTGAGAGCTATACTTCATACACTTTTATCTTACAAATGAAAGTATATTAAGAAGCTGTTATACACAGAAAGTGTCATGTATTCATGTACCACAGACTTCTAAATGCCTATCAAAGACTAGATGTACACTTTATGAAACATGAGTTGGTAAAGTGAATTAAAAAACTTGAATAGATGATCATGATGTTACATGCTTGAACTGACTTTTGTCACCTGTAATATTTCTAAGTAATTCCTGCAAATTGAACTTATGATTTCGTTTGAAAACTTAAATTGACGTGTTAAACATTTCTTTAAGTGTCATGCAGAAGCTGATATGATGAAGAGGAACAAATTTTATGTGTTGACAACTTCGTTAGTGCAATAGATTAGACGTTTCCATGTAAATAACAGTAACACCGTTATCAAGCAAAAACAAAAGGTCATAAACGTGAATAGAAATATTAACGACCAAACTATCAAAGACGTGTTTTTAAGTTGAGACGAGCTGGGCTGCATTTATAGCATAACTAATTTTGTTTAACTGCTGAAGATTTATAGCTCAAAGGTTGCCACATGTAGGCCAATATAGGCATGATAATCTTTCGCTTTAATACCTTGAATCTTTTCGGTCATGTAGAACGCACTACCAAGAACAAAACCCGCCGAAGGCAGCGACATTCTTTAGGACACTTGTTGGTATATGTACCATCCTGACAGTACTGTGATAGTCACGTTCATTAAGTTATAAAATTGTGGTGTACCGCATCAATTATGTACGTAACAGTAAGTCCCTCCATTTTCGTGCATTCGCGCATGTGAAGGTAAACATTTTGACTGGGCATCAGTCTACTACTTACCAAGCGGTTGCGCATGTTAATGGTATTTCCATTGTTAGGAAATATTGTGCATTTGTACGTTCATTATTTTACGCCACGTCTATGAAATATGCACGAAAAAGTCCAAAGTATACTTAGTGGACTAATTTCTGAGACACCCTTCCAAAAGGAGAAGACTTCGATACATTACGTAAATGTACGGAAATTACCGAGTTAAAAAGCTTCTAATCTCCTAGCAACCTTCGTCGTCCGCCATATTCCCAATGCAATAGCTGTGACAGCTAATTCCACACTGGATATCACACAGTTTGTGCCTTGAACAGGTTGTTGCAGGGTTAAATTACATCACATGAAGTTATAACAAAACAGAAAAGACCTTTGGGAAGTAATGGCGGAGATTCAGGTGAGTGACAAAGCGATTTTCAAGCGAGAAATGTACACCATCATCGTTTGTTTATCTCGTCGAGTTTGTAACCGTGGTGTCTAATAGACTATTACTGTTAGTTGCTTTGCAGAAACATTTCACTCTTTTTAGTCTACCACAGTCGTTCAGGCGAATCACTTTTACAAAAATAGCATATTTATTACTTGATTTACTTGATCAGTGATACACAAAAGTGGTTTGAGTGTAGAATTTCTAGTTTGGAAGGCATGGGATCGGTGCTCGATGAGTGGGAATGTCAGTTGAGAGACAGCCTGGACCTTTCGTACTAATAATTCATGTTCAGTGGTCTACTCTTGATGTTTCAAAAATCAGTGCTTGTGTAAAGTTAGTGGTATAGTATTCGAAAATTTCCCGTGTTTAGATTCCCTTGCCAAATAGCATTTCCAGTGAAAATGCTACACTTACACTTCTAAAGATAACATGGATAATGACTCCATGAATATGAATATAAATTAGCAATAGTTGTATAGTCCAATCTGCCCTATACTGCCTATAGTATCATGAGGACTAGGATTTTGTCATTTAAAAACTTTTATGGTGTAACTCATGGACTTTTCCAAAATGAATAATCTCATTTAAAAACATAAAAAGGAAAGATTTCCCTCCACATAGCTTTTGGAATAAAAGCTTTTTGTAAGTAAGTCTTATGTATAATTATCAACGGTAAGTTACTGAGGGTTTGTTGAAACGTTGAAGTCACTGAAGATAGTTGTCACATGCTATTATGGAACTTCTGTGCCTTTTCAATGTTAATTACATTCAATTTTGAGGTTAACCTTGAACATGGGAAGTGTTCGGGTGCCAGTCAAATCGCCCCAGCTACAAAATGCCCCAGCAAATTTGATCAAAAGGCCCCTGATTTTTGGTCAAACTGCCCAAGGTTTGGTGAAATTGCCCCAGGGGTGGTAGTCAAAATGCCCCAATTTATTTAGAATGATTAAATATATGCCATAAATCATATGATATTATAAAGTAATATTTCTGATAAATGTTCTATTAGTAAACTGATAAGAGCAAAAGTAATATTCACGTATAGACAACACTGTAATACCAATTATTTGCATGTTGCTTTTGTAAAGAATTACAAGAATAAAATAAAATGTTTGTATAATATGTTTATTGACTGTAAATAAATAGTTTTTGTCCAAAAGTATGGTATGATACTTATCAAATCAATCTAGAGGTTTTGTTAATTAATCTTGACAATAGGTGAGGCCGTAAATGCATAGTTTTTGTCAACTATGGCGGGGTAGCCTAGTGGTTAAAGCATTCGCTTGTCATGCCGAAGACCTGGGTTTGATTCCCCACATGGGTACGATGTGTGAAGCCCATTTCTGGTGTCCCTTGTCATGATATTGGTGGAATATTGCTAAAAGTGGCAGAAAACCATGCTCACTCACTCATGATAAAGAAGTTCTGGTTTTACACTTTGCGTTTTAGTTTCTATACACATGATTGTTATTTATTATTATTATGTATTATAGGATATTTATATAGTGCACATATCCAGGCGCTGGTATTTTTCCCTCTATCATTGGATGTCAATCTCAACGGCACATCATATTATCAATCTCAACTCCCTGGGGAGTATACAACTCTTGCAGCCACTAGGCGCACTGAGTTATTGTGTCTTTCTCATCCTAACGAGGTACCCATTCACAGCTGGGTGGACTGGGACACATAGTCACAGTACTTTGTCCAAGTTCACTGCACGTTGCTGTACCCGCAACTAGGTGTTTGCACGTATTTCATGTGGCCACCATCTGGTCATGAACCAACGGATTCGTGGGTTCTTTAAGTGCACAGGGTTGTGTACTGTACACTAGGGGTTGTGACAACACTGAAAGAGTCTGCACACAAAGTTGACTCCAAGTTTTTTACACCCAGTCACAGGTGGGCTCGATCCTGACACCTCAACCTTGCTCGATCACTAGCCTGGCGGTTAAGCCCACCACGGCCCCACGTTAAAGTTTTGCTACAACCTTCGATATTATTTAGTGTATATATATGTATTTGATTGCAAACTTTGCTCCATTAATTTGTTTGATGTATCATATGTAAAAGTAAGCCAGTAATCTCACCAGTAACATTCTAATTATTACAACTCACTTATTGTAATATTATAATAACCTAGTTTTTTCTAATTGAAAAGAGTAATTTTTAGGTTGGCACACCTAAACACCCTATAAATGTACTGTGGCACACCTAAACACCCTATAAATGTACTGTGGCACACTTAGAAAAATATCTTAAGAAATATTCTCATTGTATTTTCAGCCCTCCCCAAGAGTTGCAGGGGGAAGCAAGGGCAAAGGAACTGATGATCCTATCCGGTTCCTGCCTGTACTTCCATCCAAGCGCAGCAAGCCAGCATGGCAGTCCAATCCCCCAGCATTTTTCTTGTCTGGGAGACCAGATGATGAAGAACGTCCAATTGACCTTGTGGGAGAACTTACAGCAAGTCAGTGACTTTAAGAAATGACCATTAATCTTTATATCTTTTGTTTTCTGTTTACACATGAACATGATTATTAATGTTAAAAATATATCTAATTATATGAGTTCCATCCTTTGTTAAGCACCCTTTGTTATATTCAAGTTCCTTCACAGGCATAGTAGTGCCGTATTGAATCACTGCTCTGTTCTTCTTTTTGGAAATATTTGAATATCTAAATGAGTGTTGTAAACATAGTATGACACAGACTCTTATATAATATTGTCTATCTAACTGAATCTATTCAACCATCTGAATAAGATTTTGTCTTCCAGCGAATTAATATTATAAAAATTACTATTTTTTTTTGTTCCGTTATTTTATCAAATATTGTGTTCTTTCAGTTATCTTTTCTTTTGAATTTGTTAGGAATAAGAAAATTCAATTTCACTTGTGTTAAAAACTGTCAATATTGAGGTCTATTTCTGTAGCAAGTGTTCCCAGTATATGTATATTGTGTTGCAGAATATTGTTTATTAGTTTTCTGTTTTGTAGTTGTTTACACAAAATGGTCTCTTGTCATGACATTTATGGAAATTTGCTAAAAGCGGTGTAACTTCCTCACTATATATAAATGATCATGTGTCTGATTATCATACTTAAACATTTATTGAACTGCTTTCACAAACCAGTCATTATTCTAAACTGTTTTCACAACATTTTCATTTGTAAGACACAAATAGATGTATCACTGCTGATTATAGAGACCAAGGAAGACCCAGGAATCTGAACTAATCATTCCATTACCAGTAGAAATGAAGACCTACTTGTAGTGGTTTGAAGATAGCGACCTCCAGTAATTAATTAATTGATTGATTCTGTGTTCCATGTCTGTGATTGTCTTATTGGCATCAATAATGGAAGTGGCGGCAGTATTTGTTACCTGTCTAGGTGGAGTAGGTAATTAGATTTGTAAGGTAGACACATCTTGATTGGAACTGATGTCTGCTGGAAGTACAGTGCCATGTGTGTGCACAGGAATATATGTTTGGGCTCGTTTTAAAGTTTGCGAAATTAATGTTGTGTGTGCATGAATAATTAAGATTGGTTTGCTGTAGAAGTGCTTGAGAGTTGATCTTTCCATGGTGGTGTAATTGGATGGGTGCTTGTGTGTGTTGGGAATCAATCAGCTGTTTGAGTGCAGTTAGAACAGTAGATGTACATGTAGTGCTTAACGGTCAGAGGGCTTTCCTGATGTCTGACATTTTGGTTACTTCGAATCAAGGGACCCCCAAAATTGTAACTTTCAACACTTATGGGTTATAACAAGAACCTCTTCATAGTCATGCTTATTGTTGGAGGATGTGTATGTAATTATGTTCTATTGTCTTTTGTTGTAAAATGTAATATATTATTCAATATTTTTGTGGAAGTACTAAAATCATTTTTTCTTACTGGAGAAGTATCAATATTTATTTTAGTGAAGTTTGTATTTCATGGACTTGCTTGATAGGTGATTTTTAATCTATGATTTGCATGTATTGTTCTTTGATTTCCAACTTTCATTGCTTGTTTGTGTTGATGTTTGTTTATCATTGGTCTTTAACATTTGATTTAGATCTCTCCAGGAAATAATAAAGGTTTATTTATGTTTGAATAAGAGGTAATCATCCAGAATGGGAACGGGTATCATAGTGAGAATAACATGGTTCATACAGATTTGAAAAGTTATTGAATTTGTGTTTTTTGCAAATGAACAGTATTTATTGAGGTGTGATATTATCTCAGTGTACAACATTGTAATACTTTTGTTGACTTTGATTATATGTTATATTTGATTTTATTCAGATGTGGAGATATTTTTAAATTAGATGATCTCTGGATGTTTAGTTTCATCAGAGACCATATAATAGATCTAATGATAATCTATTATATGGTCTCTGGTTTCATAAGTGCTGAGATGTGGCAAGTCTTTGTTGTAACCTTTGGAATGAAGTGGGTTAATATTTTGTAAGTGGCAAGGTTATAATCTACAGCTTGTTGTAATGCTGTTGAGTCATCGCTATAATCAGAGTTATTGGCACAGCACCAAGCCCAGCTTTAGGTGACATTGTTCTAGGTCACTTTGAGTTGGTCTTACGTGACATACTTCAAACAAACATGTTATGTGACTAATGTTGCATGCTAATTGTGTAATGATTTACAAAACTATTGATGCACTGCAACTGCGTGCTATCCATACTGAGACAGATTAAGATATCAGTTTAACATCTGATAGGTATGTAAGGTTTGATGGGGAATTTCTAGGTATTAATTCAAGAATGCAATTTCTTTTCTTAAAGAAGTGGTCAATCTTGTGGGTTTTTTCACAACAGAGAACATTTATTTCTTCTGGAACCTCAGTATTAACTACCTACAATGATAAATCAAAAGGTTGGGTTTACATCAAGTGATTAACCATTCAGCTGTAATCTAAAACACATGAGTATGAAGTAGAACAGTGGTCAATATGAAAGTCTAGAATGACCAGAACGTTCATATAGGTGAAAAATTCGGTGGTCGACAGATTAAAATAGTACAGCAGCAAACCTCAAGAAAGTCCCCCATAAGTTTGGACATTTATGCAGCTTTTGTTTGTGTCAATATGTCAGGTACCACTCCTAGTTAAAGGTCACATGCAACCAAAAAATCAAACATAATTAAAACACAATTATCACTTATTCATGACATATAATATACATTGCTGGTTATGAAAAAACATATAAACAAAATTATAAGCGTACAATCGCAAATCAAAAGTGTAATATTGTGTACTTGGGTTTACTTCCCAAGAAACGAAGCAGCCGGGATACCGAACCCAGTCAGAGTGGGTGGGTGTGCACTCAAGTGTAACGGCTGGTTCATTTGCAGACGCCTTCACGGCTCATTGTGTGTGTATATATAGAGATGTTGGGTTTTGTAAATACATGCTCATTTTTTGTGTATAACATTTTGCAATCAACAGACATCATAACATGTCATGTGTACAAGTATCACACCTGCCTGTCTGTCTAATTACATAATGTGACAGAGACCGAACTCGGGCCATAAACCAATGCATTTTGTTTATGGTGTATAGCCTGATTGGTGTTAAGTTCAAATTGCATGTGATCAGTGATCGCAGTTGTGTATTGAATATTGTCATTAGCAGACAGGCAGGCAGACAGACACATAGGTGTCAATAAAACAGACATTGAGTTTTGTCTGTGACAATGACAAATCTATATCACAGTTAGAAATTCTGTCAACTCTAAATAATGACATTGCTTTTAAGTATCGAACTGAGAAAGTGACTCAGTAAGAAGAACGTGTGGTGAAATAGACAAATGAAATTATATAAACATTTAATCTACTGTCATAACATATAAAAAGCTCGCGCCTGTGAAATATCAACAAAACATTAGTTAAATAGCTCACACCAAAGCCTTCACCGAGTATTCACCGGACAACCCGCTTCCAACCTGCGCGAACCTATTTTACTGTGCACGTGCTATGAGCGCAGCCCAGCTGTTGAAACCACTTGAAAATTAGTGAATCGTTTGAACTACGATTTCACGCGGTTTTTTTCATTGCGTTATTTTTCAACTTTATAAGTTGAATTTGCATTTTTGATGATTTGTTTCGGTAAGTCCATACTGAAAGGTATCAGAATCTGCAAAGTTGTGTTTTACGTTGCATGTGACCTTTAAGTATCACTATTTAATTTGGGCAGTCATGTCAGTTTCATATGAGTCCATCTTGTTCTACAGGAGATAGTCGGAAGAGAAAACAGCCCAGCAAGTTGAAGCCGATAGAACCTCACAAACAGCAAGATGTCAACATGGACCAGTTCAAACAGCCGAAGAAAGACAGAGAGAACTTCAGAAAGGCTCTTGTGGACATCATTATGTATGTCAACATGCTTTTTGGAAGTAGTCTATGGTTTTAGCAACTATAGTCTGTTTGCAATGAAAATGTACTGATGAATTTCACTTTAAACTTAAACTTAAATCAAATAAAGTGAAATAAAGATTGCAAGTCCTCATAATTTTACCTTGCCAATTGAACATTTAAATCTCAGAAGTTTTTTCAATTTAGGATAAAAGTTGTTTAATAAACGATCATAGTTTCAAATTGCTATTATTGGTTTGTATTACAAGGGGTTAAGCGCAGTAGTTGGAACACTGAAACAAATGCACGAGCGGTACGTGATGAGCGTTAACTTAGACCAACCCTACTTGTTCTCGGTGTTTCATTTAATGTGAGTACACCCTTGTAATACAAACCAATAATACCGATTTGAAACTATGCTCATTTGTTAAACAACTTTTATCCTAAGTTGAATAAAATTCTGAGATTTAAATGCTCAATTGGCAAGGTAAAATTATGAGGATTCGCAATCTTAATTTCACTTTATTTGATTTACCTTTTTGTTTATAGTGAAATACATCGGTATGTTTTAACTGCAAACAGACAATAGTAAGCTTTGTTCTTCCAAGTCCACAAACTGACATCCAACTGTACTGAACATGATGCCAAGAGATCAGTTTGATCTAGCAAACTCACATGCATTTCAAGTTTGGGCACAAGTTGGAAGTGTGTGCTTCAAAGTTATCAAAGCAATTTTTGCGATAACTCTACAGGAGTTAAATTTTGTGTTGTGATAGTTGTATGAAATAAGAATGTATTCTCTAGCATGTGGTTGCTATGTTGTGAATGTCTGATTCTAGTCTGACTTCTCTCCTTTGGCCTCGTCATATGAGCGAAATAATCTCAAGCACGACGTCAAACCCAATTTCACCTCACCTCTCTCCTTTGGCCAGGCACTGATCAAAGATTGCTAGAGATTTGTAGAGACTTCCTGACACAGATATTATCATAATGATAATGAGTGGTGGCCAAAAGTTTTATGATTTAATCTTCTCTGAAAACTATTTTTTATTGTCGTCCTTTGTATAATATGGAGGAATGCAGAGATTTGTTGGCTTGCATACAAGTCAACGCGTGGCTGCAAATATCGCCTGATGATTAAGCCACGAGTCTGAACCATATTCCTCTTGGTCTAGAAGGTAAGCAATTACTCTCCCATGTAAAAACACCCAAATATACTGAAGGTGATCTGGGAAAGGGTCACCCACATGACTTGACATGTCACACAAACTCTACACATTCTGTACTTTATCCTCAATCAGGGTTCCAGATAAGGGCCATATTGGCATATGTACGGATACAAAATATGCACGATACGGTAAGACATAATTTAGAAAACGTAGCAGATACGCACCACAGCAATGGTGTACGGTCTTAGAATCATTTAGAGAAGTATTTATCTGAAAGTGTATTGTTTTATTGTTCACAGACCTGTTTACACAAGAGTAGCAATGTTGTGGTGCATATATGAAACGAAACACAAGATTACTGATACTCCATTAAATTCCATTCAGTACTCTAAATGTACTCTTAGGTTTTCCAGTACTCCTGACGTTGAAAAATTATCTGGGGCCCTGCACAATTTCCATGTATCAGTACAAGGGATATACTACATACCGATCTAGTCTGACATCTGTAAAACAACTGAGGACATATTTGCTTGTTACAGGCAAGAAGAGAGCCTACCGAGAAGCAGTGCTGGGTCCCCCAATGGCGAACTGCCCCCACTGTCCCGCACAGGCTCCCCCACTGCTGCCGAGAAGGATATCCTGGTACGTGTACCATGTAGACAGGGTAGATCAGATACTCGGGGAAAATGGGTTGAGTGTAACAGCTGTCTGTAGATACTTTGCGTGTTTTGTTCATTGCTGATTTGAACCCTATGTCACATCAACTTGATGTGAAAGGAAAGGAAAGTGATGAGGTATCTCATCTCTGTATTGTAAACCATAAACAAGAATATGGTGTTTGCATACCCAGAGTGAGTGAGTGAGTGAGTTTAGTTTTACGCCGCACTCAGCAATATTCCAGCTATATGACGGCGGTCTGTAAATAATCGAGTCTGGACCAGACAATCCAGTGATCAACAGCATGAGCATCAATCTGCACAATTGGGAACCGATGACATGTGTCAACCAAGTCAGCGAGCATGACCACCCGATCCCGTTAGTCGCCTTTTACAACAAGCAGAGTCGCCTTTTATGACAAGAATGGGTTGCTGAAGACCTATTCTACCCCGGATCTTCACGGGTCTTGCATACCCAGAACATAATCAATATGAATCTGAGATTTGATCCTATGGTCCTACATTGCTGGTATGAGGGATGCCACAAACCGCTGGACATTGGATGAATGGATCGCATCCTTGACTGATAAATGTGTTGATCTAGATTGTTACTCATGCTATCAACCACTAGGTTAGCTAGATGTCATTGTTTACAAGCTGCAGGGGATATTGGTGATATCAGAATAAGACAACATTCACTTGTATGTACCTATGCAGTCTATGATTGGTATGATTGTCTGGTAGATTGGTAAAATGGTTCATAAGATTACTTCATGGTTCATTGTAAACTTGTCTATAATGGACTGTCACAGTTACACAGGCAAATACATTTTTTGTGTTCTGAATTGACTCCTTGATGTCCATGTCGGTGATAGGTAGGGCACATTCAAGGATAGTTATTGGATAGGTCTGCCAGACAGGTCAAACTAATGTTCCCAATGCATTTCTTTCATTTTCAGAGATACTACTACTACATACACAATGGTATCGACACAGAGCATGTTGCACCGATGGAAGACTCCTGGCTGGAGAATGTTCTGTTTCTTGTCCCACCCACACTCAAGGTGAATAGTTAGATACAACATAAAAGAAAGTAATGTTGACAGAAATATTATTCTAGATGTTTCACTGATACAGTGTGCATGTTGTATTGGTGTTTCACTGAAACAGTGTACATGTTGTATTGGTGTTTCACTGAAACAGTGTACATGTTGTATTGGTGTTTCACAGATCGTGTGTACATGTTGTATTGGTGTTTCACAGATCCAGTGTACATGTTGTATTGGTGTTTCACAGATCAGTGTACATGTTGTATTGGTGTTTCACAGATCCAGTGTACATGTTGTATTGGTGTTTCACAGATCGTGTGTACATGTTGTATTGGTGTTTCACTAATACAGTGTGCATGTTGTATTGGTGTTTCACAGATCCAGTGTACATGTTGTATTGGTGTTTTCAGTGTACATGATCATTGGTGTTTCACAGCAGTGTACATGTTATTGGTGTTTCACAGATCGTGTGTACATGTTGTATTGGTGTTTCACAGATCCAGTGTACATGTTGTATTGGTGTTTCACAGATCGTGTGTACATGTTGTATTGGTGTTTCACAGATCCAGTGTACATGTGTACATGTTGTATTGGTGTTTCACAGATCAGTGTACATGTTGTGTACATACATGTTGTATTGGTGTTTCACAGATCCAGTGTACATGTTGTATTGGTGTTTCACAGATCCAGTGTACATGTTGTATTGGTGTTTCACTGAAACAGTGTACATGTTGTATTGGTGTTTCACAGATCGTGTGTACATGTTGTATTGGTGTTTCACAGATCCAGTGTACATGTTGTATTGGTGTTTCACAGATCGTGGTGTACATGTTGTATTGGTGTTTACAGATCCAGTGTACATGTTGTATTGGTGTTTCACAGATCCAGTGTACATGTTGCATGTTTGGTGTTTTCACAGATCCAGTGTACATGTTGTATTGGTGTTTCACAGATTGTATTGGTGTACATGTTGTATTGGTGTTTCACAGATCCAGTGTACATGTTGTATTGGTGTTTCACAGACAGTGTACAGATCCAGTGTACATGTTGTATTGGTGTTTCACTGAAACAGTGTACATGTTGTATTGGTGTTTCACAGATCGTGTGTACATGTTGTATTGGTGTTTCACAGATCCAGTGTACATGTTGTATTGGTGTTTCACAGATCCAGTGTACATGTTGTATTGGTGTTTCACAGATCCAATGTGCATGTTGTATTGGTGTTTCACAGATCGTGTGTACATGTTGTATTGGTGTTTCACAGATCCAGTGTACATGTTGTATTGGTGTTTCATTGGTGTGCATGTTGTATTGGTGTTTCCAGATCAATGTGCACATGTTGTATTGGTGTTTCACAGATCCAGTGTACATGTTGTATTGGTGTTTGTTTCACAGATCCAGTGTACATGTTGTTGTATTGGTGTTTCACAGATGTGTGTTTCACATGTTGTATTGGTGTTTCACAGATCCAGTGTACATATTGGTGTTTTGTATTGGTGTTTCACAGATCCAGTGTACATGTTGTATTGGTGTTTCACAGATCCAGTGTACATGTTGTATTGGTGTTTCACAGATCCAGTGTACATGTTGTATTGGTGTTTCACAGATCCAGTGTACATGTTGTATTGGTGTTTCACAGATCCAATGTACATGTTGTATTGGTGTTTCACAGATCCAGTGTACATGTTGTATTGGTGTTTCACAGATCCAGTGTGCATGTTGTATTGGTGTTTCACAGATCCAGTGTACATGTTGTATTGGTGTTTCACAGATCAGTGTACATGTTGTATTGGTGTTTCACAGATCCAATGTGCATGTTGTATTGGTGTTTCACAGATCGTGTGTACATGTTGTATTGGTGTTTCACAGATCCAGTGTGCATGTTGTATTGGTGTTTCACAGATCCAGTGTACATGTTGTATTGGTGTTTCACAGATCCAGTGTACATGTTGTATTGGTGTTTCACAGATCCAGTGTACATGTTGTATTGGTGTTTCACAGATCCAGTGTGCATGTTGTATTGGTGTTTCACAGATCCAATGTGCATGTTGTATTGGTGTTTCACAGATCCAGTGTGCATGTTGTATTGGTGTTTCACAGATCCAATGTGCATGTTGTATTGGTGTTTCACAGATCCAGTGTACATGTTGTATTGGTGTTTCACAGATCCAGTGTACATGTTGTATTGGTGTTTAACAGATCCAGTGTACTTGTTGTATTGGTGTTTCACAGATCCAGTGTGCATGTTGTATTGGTGTTTCACAGATCCAATGTACATGTTGTATTGGTGTTTCACAGATCGTGTGTACATGTTGTATTGGTGTTTCACAGATCCAGTGTACATGTTGTATTGGTGTTTCACAGATCCAGTGTGCGTGTTGTATTGGTGTTTCTCAGATCCAATGTGCATGTTGTATTGGTGTTTCACAGATTCAATGTGCATGTTGTTTATGACACAGATCCAATGTGTTTTTTCTATTATCATCCCACAGATGCAGTGCACATGTATTATCATATTGTACATACAAATTGTACGTGATATATTGGTTGTTACAGGGTGGTCATGAGGAGACGATAGAGAACTTGTCAGATGAGATGAGAGAAGATTACCTGCTGAGTGTGAAGAAAGCTATTGGTGAGCAGAAGTTATCTGGTCATAATGTTGTTGTGTTTTTTATGACCCTTTTGATCAATCAAAAAGTAAAAGGAATTTTGTAAATGTTTGAAGTATAAACTGACTTGTTTTCTGTGGCCAGTTGACTTTGTGCTGAAAGATCCCCGGGAGAAGGATGAGGACAAAAAGGAGAAGCTGCTGCCTCACCGGGAGGAGCTGGCTGTCGTCCCCAAACCCTGGAACAAGTCATTCCTTGGTGGTCTGGAGCAGATGACCCACCATCTCCATGTCACTAACCCCTGCATGCTGCAGGTGCTTGATGTCTGGCACATCTCCTTTGGGTAAGTACTAGCCTGGCTCTGTCTGAATCAGTCCAAAGTATCACAACACAACCACCATCACTGGTACAATCAGTCCACAGCATCACACAACACAGCTACCATCACTGGTACAATCAGTCCACAGCATCACACAACACAGCTACCATCACTGGTACAATCAGTCCACAGCATCACACAACACAGCTACCATCTCTGGTACAATCAGTCCACAGCATCACACAACACAGGTACCATCACTGGTACAATCAGTCCACAGCATCACACAACACAGCTACCATCTCTGGTACAATCAGTCCACAGCATCACACAACACAGCTACCATCACTGGTACAATCAGTCCACAGCATCACACAACACAGCTACCATCTCTGGTACAATCAGTCCACAGCATCACACAACACAGCTACCATCACTGGTACAATCAGTCCACAGCATCACACAACACAGCTCCCATCACTGGTACAATCAGTCCACAGCATCACACAACACAGCTACCATCACTGGTACAATCAGTCCACAGCATCACACAACACAGCTACCATCACTGGGTACAATCAGTCCACAGCATCACACAACACAGCTACCATCACTGGTACAATCAGTCCACAGCATCACACAACACAGCTACCATCACTGGCACAATCAGTCCACAGCATCACACAACACAGCTACCATCACTGGTACAATCAGTCCACAGCATCACACAACACAGCTAACATCACTGGTACAATCAGTCCACAGCATCACACACAACACAGCTACCATCACTGGTACCATCAGTCCACAGCATCACACGACACAGCTACCATCACTGGTACAATCAGGCCACAGCATCACACAACACAGCTAACATCACCGGTACAATCAGTCCACAGCATCACACAACACAGCTCCCATCACTGGTACAATCAGTCCACAGCATCACACAACACAGCTACCATCACTGGTACAATCAGTCCACAGCATCACACAACACAGCTACCATCACTGGTACAATCAGTCCACAGCATCACACAACACAGCTACCATCACTGGTACAATCAGTCCACAGCATCACACAACACAGCTACCATCACTGGTACAATCAGTCTACAGCATCACACAACACAGCTACCATCACCGGTACAATCAGTCCCACCAATTACAATGGCAATTTAGGTGCCTAGGTTTTGATGTAATGATGTTGTCTTGTGTTCCACCAGGTTCCTAAGGTTCATCGACATCGAGGAGTTTCACAACAGACAGGACTCCATGGAACTGGCCACCTTCCAGAACCTGTGCATGAGACACATTGAGGCTGCCAAAGAGAGGCTGCTTAAAAAAGTCAGTGATTAATGTATACTTTGCTTGTTTTTGAGAGATAATATGGGAGGGACATGCGTGGTGTATTGGAGTGTTTTTCCTTATTCCTTACATTGCTGTATGAGGGCTGATAAACAGGGTAAGAATTGAGGAAATGATAAGACTGTGATGGTCAGGAGAGGGTAGTGCAATGTTTGTGTGTCGTGAGAGGGGTGCTCCAGTTCCAACTGTGTCATCCTAGCAAGATTATGCATTTGAAAAAATCTAGTGCTATAATTGCTGTATTCACCAAATGATCCACAAGCAATCTTTTGCAATCTTCATTTCTGGCTTGGTCATCTAAGACAAAGCCTGTTCCACAAAGTGATCTCAGGTATTGTATTTCCCATTGATTTTACTCCAGATGGTTCCCGGAGGTGCAGAACATCTTCTACCAGGGCAACAAGAGGAAGCAGGTGCCTAGCAACCAGGACCAGGAGATGTTGGAATCCTTCTTCAACTGTGCAGCTACTCTCATGACCGACAACCTACAACAGCTGACCCTGAATTCCCTCAATGACTACACTGACCTGCTGTGGCAGCCCGAGGTAGGTACACACTGGGACATTGGGCTGCAAGTTCATATAGGTCATGGCTAGAAGTGTGTTCTTGTTCCAGGTTTGAGGTTATGTCAGGAAATCTGATTCACTGGATGGCTGATGTATGTGTTGGTACATATTTGTGATAGATTTGGATTAGGTTTATACTTTCATGGTTTGTATAGTATGGGTAGCATTGGAACAATCATAAATATTAGTGGTATGCTTGATACGTTCTATATAATTTGGGTATGCATAGGATTCTTGAAACAGTCTTGCTCTGGCAGTTACTTAGGGACCATTCATATGGCTAGGGGTGTGATGATGATTTTTATGGTAGAAGCCTATACAATGTGAATGTCTCCCCCCTAAAATGTATGTACATAGTAATTGTCCATCCCCTCTTGTCAGGTACAAAATGAATGACACCCCTCCCTAGTACATGTGTACAAAATTGATGATGCCTCTACCTCCCCAGAACATAAGGGTTGATCCCCCTGAAAATCATCATCACCCTCCCTTATTTTCAAGGTTAAGTAGTAGACTGTCAACAAGAAGTGATTCTTTGGATCACTGGGAAATTTGGTTTCTCACATTTGAAACCAGGTTATCGGCTTTGCAGACAGTCAGTGTTGCCAAAGTCATTTTGTTAATATTGGGTGAAGCTGTTGAGGCTTTCTGACAATGTCAAGCATATAGTGTGTGAAAGTTATTTATGAATGTCATTAATATCAGAGATTAGCACCTGATGAAACACACACTGTGCTGACACCTGCCATCTCTGCGCTGTGCGACTGTCCGTCATCACTGATGTTCACTATCTGGTGTATCTCACTGTTGATATGACTAAACACTTCTATAGGGTGGTTTTATTTCTCATTGTTAACTATATCTGACTTTTTGCTCACAAAATGAAATAACAAAATACTTACTGTTCTAATCTGTTTTTCCTACTGCATAATAACGCTTTCCAACAACTTACCTTCATGATGCTTATCTATGCATGTTTACTTTCCTTTACATTCTGAGTGATTAAATGTCACTTACCAAAATAATTTAAGAAAATGTACCAATTAAAATTAATGTTAAAATATAGAAATGTGTGTCGTAGCTTGAACCAGTCTGTGTATACATGTAGGACTGTAATATCAGGTAGACTATGCCCCCAGCAGTGTGTGCTGGTTGTTATAGACAACTTTATGGATGGTTGGGCTGAATTCCCTCACTGATAGCCTATCATACCACTGTCACTGTATCCTGACAGCAGTGATCGTTGTTCATGATGTCAATCACTGGTTTCTCTAGTCCATTGATTATTTACATGTCACTGTCATATACCTGGAATATTGCTTCTGTAACAAATAAACAAACCCAATAAATAATATTTAGATACATTCATGAATTCTTTATGAAATAGCTGCTCTTTACATGTGTATAAAAGTACCATAGAGACATGCTAAACAAGGCTCTTATAGAGTAGAAAATTTGATGAAAACAGACATGTGATAACTGTGTTTTATCACCATTATTCAAGTCTTTTAACTGTATATCACTTTAATAGTTGCTTACATTTCCAAATCGAAGGGTAAGTTTGTCTTGCTGGGTAGCTATCTTTTTCTGCTCCCAACACTTATTTTGATTTTTTTAGACTATCTGATATTTGTGCCCTCTCTCTCTGTGCTCCTTTTCCTCAAACACTATGCACTCACAAAAATAGGTTGAAGACAGACTATCTGGTTCAAATAAAGTTTTAGAGATGTCACTGTGCATGTGAACTATTCAGTGATGCACTGAAGATGTCAGATTTTAAAGATGACCCCCAAAATATGTAGTGTGACTAGTGGTTTAAGAGTGCTATCACATCAGTAATATTCAGATTCAAGCTGTTACTCTTGAGATTATATAGGGCACCCAAGGACCTTGGGCCGGTGAATGAGTGAGTGTTTTCATGCCCCTTGAAGCAATGTCAGTATTACAATGGTCTTTGGTGTGATGATCCAATGATAATCCTGTAATATGAATTTAAGCAGATTGAGAATGAGTTTTTCTTTTGACAATATCCACAAAATCCTCAAGTCAAAGAGTTTCTCTGGGTACCATAGGACCTATTACTATTCATGATCACTGCTATGCTTGTATTGATAGCCAAACTAAGGCTAAGTAGCTATAACATCCCTACTTGCATGTTTCAAAAGAAAACTCAGGTACAATGACTATGCAGAGTTAAACAAAATCATTTGTTCAAGAATGCCTCTGCCCAGAATGTAAAGTTTCCACACTACTGAGGTCCATTCAGTCCCCAAGCATAGCCAGGTTTAAAATTGTACCTCAACTTGAAAATAGCTGTTATTTAAAAAACAACAATTCTCAGACATTCCCTGATCATATTTTACACTACCCTCTAGTTTATGACTCTTAAAATAGTTCAATTTGCACATGAAAACAATCTGCTAATTATTTATTTGACTCTTCCAATCACATCCAATTTTGCACATCAACAGCATCATCAGTTACTTCCTAATTTAAAAATATTCTGAATTTTGATTTCCAAAGTTATGCAAGTGATAAAACTAAAGTGATTTTTGATCACCTGAACAAGCACCGTGTTCCTTCACATGTGGGAGTATGTCATGACAGTAGGGCTCCAGTGCCTGGTACTGATGACACTTGTACACGTCAGTGTTCCTGTCACCAAGTGTAGCCTGTAGATCTACAGAACATTGTCAACACATCAAGGCATTGTACACACCATAGTTCTCCATCACCAGTCTGTGTAGTAGCGACATGTGTAGCTTTAGTCAGGACTGTGTCACATAGTTCAGATGAGCCCAGTACTGTATAGGAAGTTTGTGCAGCTCTAATTGTCAGTTATTGAAGTAATGTTTAGAATGGATAGTCACAAAACTGGGGCTCATGTTGAACAAAAACTAAAAACTTAAAGACATTGGTCTCAATTCATTAGTTAATGATGTTAAGTACACTCCTAATCGGCTGTATGTATTTGTGAGTGATGGGAGGACATTGTGTGTACAAACCTGTGAGGTACTGATGATGAACTGTGCACTACTAACTCTGAAACAGTGTCTTGCCTGTCTTTTACTAACATTTCTTTTCCTGATATGAAAGAATGATTGTTTATGGGTAATTTTTAGAATGACGTTATATTTGCTAAGTACATGATCTGTATTGTACTATACATTATTTTTTGGTGGTTTGGTTCAACAGAATTATCTTAAAAGGATTTACATAAAAGTTCATATACCACAGTTTTTTTTTATGAATTTGCTGTAATTGAAAATGTTTTTCAGTATAATCAGTATGGAACTCAACTGATAAATGAAATAAAAGAAGTGTTAATGTTTCTGGTAGCACGGTACCAACTAATCACTGCATTCTGACATAGAAATGATTGTGTACACACATATATATGTACATCACATGTAACTTACATCTGTCACTCAATGTGTACACACATATAGATAATCTGTCACTTGGAACTAGTGTAGTATGTTGTTGCTCATGTTTTACCTGTGCTAATTAACTCTATTACTGCTGGCTGTCATTTCTTCTTAAAGATCATACAGGTATGACTGGATGTTTTATGTTCTCAAAGCTGCATCAATACATGCTGCACACTGCATTAAGTATGCCACACACTTGCAGTACAAGCTGCACTTGCTGGCTACATTGAAGCCAGTTTGGTTTGGGGAATCTTTTACAGATGTTGATTTTTCAGTTGGTGGAAGGTTGATTGGGTGTGTCATATTTCAGTTCACAGAAGTGACATCCTCGATAGTCCAGGGTAATATATCTCCATTCTGTTGTGACCCATTCCCTGGACCCAGTCACTACCACAGCCTTGTAGAAGTGATGTCGCCAGTTCCATCTCATGTACTAATTTACCAAGTAGCACAATAAATGTCTCTTTGGCATAGATCTACATTAAAATCCAAGGCCTCATCTGAGTGAGTGTTTGATATATTTCAACAAATCACTGGAATATTATGAACAGTGATTTTATTGGAAAAGATGATTTCCTGAATCCCAAGACCTTATCTCAATCCATATGCAGCAAACTTTTCCAGTTGTATTTAGGACGACATGTAACATTTGAGATGAATGTTGGTGATACTGCTGCTTGCTTAGCTCATGTGAGAACAAGGTCATTTGGATTTGATGTCTGTATTATTCAAGCCAGCTTCAAGACTAAGCTGTGGTGGTGTCACTGTGTTCGGATATCCAGCACACAGAAGAGAGATATGATACACTGGAATTCCAGGATGGAGATTTGATTGCTTTGGCACAATTTTCCCAACTTTCAGGAGGTGGAGGCATGGGTGTGGACTTGTTTTTCAGAGTTAACTGAAGAGTTATTTATGTTTTTATTGAATGTCATTTGAATGCTTTAGTAGAGGTGACATACATTATTATTTTATCAATTGTAGAATAATAATTGTTTGATTGGTGTTTGTTTTTGCATTGCCGAGATATTTTACTTATGTCCAATTGCCAAACTGACAACATTGTTTGATTATAGACATGTTCTATGAATCTTTTATTATGCAATAAATGTCTCTCTTCTAAGAACATTTTTTTCTGATGATAGCCAGATATATCTCTTTATGTCCTTTAGTTTTGATAAATGCAGATATTCAAGTTAAAATGAGTGTTTAAACGAAGATTATCTTTCAGCTGAAATTTAAAGAAGATATTAAGCTTATTTTGTACAAATTCTTTAATCTTGGCTGAATGAGGGAACTAAGTTTGTTTCAAAGTATGCTGTGTGATGACACATCAAAACCATACTATCAGTAGTCGGTTAACACAGATTTGTTTTCTAAGAGGGGTTACATATGTTAGTTTATATAAACAAGTGTGCTGAGTGTCTGTTCTCTTACATCAATTTAGGAACCTGAGTCTTCATGCTCATGCATGCTCTTAGAATCAACTTATGTAGCTGACCTTGCCATGATTTCATGATATTGATGCTGACCTGTAGGATTTTGATCCTGCCCTTTATGTAACATTTGCATGTTAAATAGCATTCACCTGACTTTTGAACTTGTTTTGATTCTAGGATTCAACACGGGCATATGAACATTCAGGTTTTGTCCTGAGACTGATCTTGGATGAAAATCAAATCAAGTTTGAACCAACATTCAAGGATTTTGAAGTTGTGCTGTTGAACGTCTATGACGTTGTCATCAAAGCATCTGCCGTTGTACCAAGAGTGGAGACCAAACTGTACTCAGAATGGGTATGTCACTTGTGTTTAACACATCAGTATTCATCAATATTCATTCATTCCAGTTTGTAATTAATATTGATTTCAAGGTACAGAGTGCTTAAACAATCCAGTTTTTGTGAGACATGCAGTGATTCCAATATAAGACTTTGACAGTATAGAGTTTAATGGAAAGTTTAGCAATGTGTTGTACCTTTTAACAGTTAAAGAAAAAAAAGCGAAAGAAAACTTTTGTAAGTATACCTTGATGGTGTGTGCAGTCACGGAATATTCATATATATCTTTGTGAGGATCATTGTACATATTCACTCAGTTGTTGTGACCCACTGACCACTGTAGATCATGTAGAGGTTGTATCAGCAAATTTCTTCCTTGTGCATGGCATTTCTTGCATGGAAGGTGTACCAGTGGGGGATCTTTATCTTACGTTGTCACGCATCTCCGTAACACACTGCATCAAACCCCAGACTTAGATCATGAAGAACAGTCTCAACACAAGAATGAGAATCAGTCAAACACCTGATTTACATATATTACATCTTTCACGTTCATTGAGAAGAATCAGTCGTGCATACATCTCTCTTCATGTATCGGAATCAATTTTACCAATCGCTTCATCTGTGGGAACAATCAAACAATCTGACTTCACCTGCTAGAAATAACATGTGCTTCATTGGTGAGACTCAGTCAACCTCTGACTTTGTCAGTAAGAATCAGTCAAAGCTCTCACTTCACCATGGTGAATCAAACCCTTCCTTCATTGGTGAGACTCTGACTTTATCAGTGGAAAATAGTAACAAGATTCTTTTCATCCATTGAAAACAGTTACCTTATCAGTGGGAATTAAAGGCATTCTTAAGTAGGAAACTGTCAAACATCTCACTTCATCATTGAGTCACACCACTTTCTTCATCAAAGAGCATATATCACACCCTGAACTGGAAACAAAAACAAAGAATTCACCGAATTATGTTGCATCGGACGGAGCATTTCTAAGACATTTCATGACACTGTTGTGTGTACATCAGGATGGTCAGGGCATTTTTTCATTTAGAAAAATATATCACACGAAGCATGTATAAGTTTATTGCACAAAATTTTGCATGTGAGTTTAAACTACATGTATTATGAAACATGATACATTAAAGTAGTTGACTTTGAAACAATCAGTTTCTATACAAGTTTTTAGATGAGTTTTTGTGAAAACAAAGCCTGCATGAGTAATTCTAATGGAAGACTTCATAGAAAGCATGAATCTAGATCTTCAAGTAGATGATGATATATGCAACTAGAATTGGAGTGTAAGGCAGACCATTCACTATAGATCATGAACGTATTAGTATAGTGTAGCTGTTGGATTCGGTAATAGAAACTGCCTTGAAATTTTCATTGTTGAAAGTAGAAATAGTATTTTGTGTATGCATTTTTGACATAGCTCTGTGTAGTTGAAAATAGTTATGATTAATGGTGTTTTGGTTTTGCAGAGTAAATACTTAAGGTAAGATGTGTAGTTAATGATGGGCATCATCTTCATAATATGTGAGGGTTCCCTGTCTGTTCAATCTGTGTTGTGATATTGTAGAATGGCAGCAAGAACAAGGCATTCCTCAAACCGGTAGTTCTGGAAGAGATCTTGGAGGAACATCGGCAGATGGTACGGGAGCTGATCAAGAAGGAAAGTGTGGGACCAAGTGAGCACTGTAAGGTGTACGACCAATACAGCTTCCTCATCACTAAACAGGTGAGTGTTAGGAAGGACTCTTTCATCATCATTGTCAACGTCATCTTCAACATCTCATTTTTGTCTTCCTTGTGTGATGGAGAAAGGTCTGACGAATATGGTAAGTGATAAAGAGTGAATTATGTAAGCAGATTGAAGTGAATGGAAGAGCTTGCATGTTTTGATTGATGTGTATCTGCAACCATCTTGCAATTTGAGCAAACTTTTGTTCCAATTCTCGGCAGTTACCGAAGAAACTAAAATTGACCAGGTTGAATTGAATGTCTTGGTTAGCCCTTAGGGTTCGAGTGATGTCCCAATGTATTCTATTTGTAATGCTTGATACCATCTTTTCTCCAAGGCTGAATCAGATGTTGATGAGTTCATGAAAGAGGAACACAACTTTGATGATTATGCAAAAGAAGTTGCTCGTTTCCACCACCTGACTGAGGAGATCTCCTTCAACTCCCGCAAGGTATGCCCACCATCCACTCTGCAACTCTATCACTGGTTACTGCTTCTGTCCTTACAACAGTTAAGGACACCAGTCACATTCCTCATTAGAGCCATCTGGTCCTTTCTCCACAAACTGATCTTGCTGTGACTGTAGTAATTCTAAGTCTTGACATTACAATATCTGTTTGGCTCTGGGATCACTTTATTGGCTTGATGAGTTGTAAATACACAATACCATTGGTTGGGCTATAATTATCAAACACAAACAATGATATCAGTACATGACATGTTTTATGTGTAACAACTTATTTATTCTTTACACAATGTTTCAGAGCTAATTCTTGCTCCTTCATCACTATTCATGTTCGTCCAACTTCTAAAGGCCTTTCAAAAACTTCAATGATATCAGTGTTGTGTAGTTCTTTGTGACCGTGAGAAAGAAGTCAAAGATGTATTTTTTCGTTCAGGTTTTGCGTCTGGGGATGTTTGAGGTCCACTGTGATGAACTGATCCGCGCCCTCACAAAGCGAGCTGACACACTGCGAAGCAGACTCTTGGTCCGCATGTGCAAGGATCATCAGGAGGCCAATAAGAAGTGAGTTATCTGCCCTTGCATATCGAAAACCAAGAAATATACTTGTTTTCTTATTAGTAATGTTAAACAGTGTTTGAAAGGATGAAACCTTTTGTTAGTCCTTGAAATAAACCCACTGCCTTCAAAACAGTGTGTGTACCCTAGGACCTTGCTCAATTTTTGTCTTTGTAATATTGTCTTCAAATTGCCTTGAAGTTTTTGCCCCATTATGTTAATTCAATGGCACAGTTGCCCAAATAGTCCAATACATGATACAGCTTGGGTTGACTTAGGCATGCAAGAAACCTAATATGTCCGTATCACCCTGAATATATATGTATATATATGTGTAAGACAAAATATTATGGATGTCAACTTCTTGTTTATTCCATACACAATGTTTCTGGGCTTTTCCTTGCCCCTTTGTCAGGTGAATTACCTATATATATGTATGTTTTGAACAACATGCTTATGTGTGTGGGTTTCACCTTGGTGGTCTGTCTGTCATCTCACGTCGCTCTGACACTGTAATATAACTGACCTAATGTTCCAAGCTGTTTTAAACCAACTAAATCCACTTGTTCCTTCCTGGCCCTGCTTCTCCAACCCCCGTGTTACTAGTCTCTTCTTGAGTGCAACAGTAGTTATATATGTTGTCATAATGGTCATCCTTATTCCAGGCTCTGTGATGACTATGAGCAGATTGCTGAGAAGGCGTTGACCACGCCTGCCAACACAGATGAGCTGATGAAGCTGAAACAGTTCATCGAGAAAGTTGAATCAGACACCATCTTTGTCATGGAGAAGAGGCTTATGGAGTCCAAGGATCGTCTTGCGTTCCTGTCAGACTATGCCCAGTTCAATCCAGCTGAGATCCGCGTCAATGCTCAGGTGTTCATGTGGCACGGACGGATGCCTGCAGTGTTCGAGGAACACAAGCTGATTGTTTCAGAGAAGAGGAACCAGTATGAAGATGCTCTCAAAGTAAGTTATGTCAGAGCTTGGAAGAGACCCAAAGAATACCTTATTTGTGTTCCATTGAATCGTTCGTAACTATCGCAGGGCTTATTATGAAATAAAGGAATCTGTAAATATTACATATGTCATGAACTGTTAGAACGATGAAATAGTACAGAAGGTTGTGTTGAGTGTCATACCTGTACAGACACTACATTTGATTCCTGTCTATTACAGCTACGCCGTGACCGCTTCATCGAGGAGCTGGAGAGTTTTGCCAAGCAGGTGGAAGAGTTCCAGACATTTGGAGATATGTCCGACATACAGAAGTACCTACGTCGTGCACAGTCCCTCGACACCAAGTTGCAAGCTGCAGCTGAAAAGGTACACCTGGTGTCCATCACACATGCTAAAAAAACTGGTTTATCAGTAGGTGTGACATGAAACTGGTGAAAGTTTTCTTTGTGTGATAGAAATTTGTGCATTTTCTTTATTTCCATTGTATTGATCATTCTCTTCCCACAGAGGTTACTCAAGTCATATCTTTACTCAAGTCATATCTTCCTATGAACCTCTGTTCTAATACGGCCCTTTCATGGTGCGAGTGTTCAGGATTTGTGATTGGCTGCAATCGGATTTTGCTGTGCAATCAGTGATGTTGTTTCAAAAGTGATCATTCGCTAGGTCTCGGTAATTTTCGTATGCTTTGGGAAAACTAGAACCTCTTCCCCTGCGCGATGTGCAATCGTTTCTTCTAGACGGAACTCAGTCATGTAATAGCAGATCAATGGCGTCTCCATCGCACTCGTTGACAACGGACAAACTAGCTATTAAATGCCTTGTGTGTCACATCAACACAAATCCCCGGTAGAGGAGGGATATTTTTGGCCCCACATTTGCTTGCATTAGTTAAGTTGGATCTAAGTCGATGTAAAACGTGTTCTGATTGGATAAAAAGAAGGGAGATAATTCGTGATGCGATTTTTTGCCGCTAGGGGATTTTACGAGAACTGGGACATATGGCCGTATTAGAACAGAGGTACGTAGGAAGATATGACAAGTAACCTCTGTGGGAAGAGAATGTGTATTGATATGAAAGTTACCTTTTGTCATTTGAAATATGGTCAGTGTCAGAAGCCATATGTAATTTGGGCCAGACAATTGTGATCTTCAGTCAGTCGCTGCAGTTGGTATTGATGAAACAGGAAGATACGTGAAGTCAACTTCATCTTTACCATTTATTACTGTGATATACACTATATGTGAATATGGTGACTCATTATCAGACTGGAGTGTCAGGATTATCAGTACTTTTTCCACAGATAACCAGTTTTTAAGTATTTTTGATTTATAGCTTGAAAGAGACTTTATAGTCCATGTTGTGTTCAGATTGAGACGTTCAATGAGGAGGAGGAGGCGTTTGGCTGGCAGACAACAGCATACCCTCAGCGACAGACAGTCATCAACACACTCAAGCCGTATTTACAGTTGTACGAGACCACTGTAGAATTTAACTCCAAATACAAGTAGGTTCTCATCATCGTAGCACTGATTTCAATGAACAAAGGGAAGTTCATCAACTTTTATCAAATGAAAGCAGCTTGGAAAATAGATGGAACAAGTATTGGACGTGGCTATGAATGAGTTAGAAAACTGACATTCAGATGTATATTCTAAGCATAGTCTGATGTACTTTATGGTTTCGAATGAGTGAGTGGTGGACTGATGCTATAGGTGGATGTACTTCTTTGAATGAGTGAGTCGGTGGACTGATGGTATTTGTGGACATACTTCATGGTTTTGAATGAGTGAGTGGTGGACTGATGCTGTAGGTGGATGTCCTTTGAATGAGTGAGTGGTAGACTGATGCTCTAGGTGGATGTCCTTCTTTGATTGAATGAGTCGGTGGACTGATGGTATAGGTGGATGTACTTCTTTGAATGAGTTAGAGGTGGACTGATACTGTAGGTGGATGTACTTCTTTGAATGAGTGAGTCGGTGGACTGATACTGTAGGTGGATGTGCTTCTTTGAATGAGTGAGTCGATGGACTGATACTGTAGGTGGATGTACTTCTTTAAATGAGTGAGTAGGTGGACTGATACTGTAGGTGGATGTCCTTCTTTGAATGAATGAGTGGTGGACTGATACTGTAGGTGGATGTACTTCTTTAAATGAGTTAGAGTCGGACTGATACTGTAGGTGGATGTGCTTCTTTGAATGAGTGAGTCGATGGACTGATACTGTAGGTGGATGTACTTCTTTGAATGAGTGAGTCGGTTGATAAAGGTGGAGTTGAATGAATAAGTGGTGGACTGATACTGTAGGTGGATGTACTTCTTTAAATGAGTGAGTAGGTGGACTGATACTGTAGGTGGATGTACTTCTTTAAATGAGTTAGAGGTGGACTGATACTGTAGGTGGATGTACTTCTTTAAATGAATGAGTGGTGGACTGATACTGTAGGTGGATGTACTTCTTTAAATGAGTTAGAGGTGGACTGATACTGTAGGTGGATGTACTTCTTTAAATGAGTTAGAGGTGGACTGATACTGTAGGTGGATGTACTTTGAATTGAGTCGATGGAATACTGTAGGTGGATGAGTGAGTGAGTCGGTGGACTGATACTGTAGGTGGATGTACTTCTTTAAATGAGTGAGTGGTGGACTGATACTGTAGGTGGATGTACTTCTTTAAATGAGTTAGAGGTGGACTGATACTGTAGGTGGATGGTGGACTTAGGTGGATGTACTTTTTAAATGAGTTAGAGGTGGACTGATACTGTAGGTGGATGTACTTTTTAAATGAGTTAGTACTTTTTAAGAGAGGTGGACTGATACTGTAGGTGGATGTACTTCTTTAAATGAGTTAGAGGTGGACTGATACTGTAGGTGGATGTACTTCTTTAAATGAGTTAGAGGTGGACTGATACTGTAGGTGGATGTACTTCTTTAAATGAGTTGAGAGGTGGACTGATACTGTAGGTGGATGTACTTCTTTAAATGATGTACTGTAGGTGGATGTACTTCTTTAAATGAGTGAGTGGTGGACTGATACTGTAGGTGGATGTACTTCTTTAAATGAGTTAGAGGTGGACTGATACTGTAGGTGGATGTACTTCTTTAAATGAGTGAGAGGTGGACTGATACTGTAGGTGGATGTACTTCTTTAAATGAGTTAGAGGTGGACTGATACTGTAGGTGGATGTACTTCTTTAAATGAGTTAGAGGTGGACTGATACTGTAGGTGGATGTACTTCTTTAAATGAGTTAGAGGTGGACTGATACTGTAGGTGGATGTACTTCTTTAAATGAGTTAGAGGTGGACTGATACTGTAGGTGGATGTACTTCTTTAAATGAGTTAGAGGTGGACTGATACTGTAGGTGGATGTACTTCTTTAAATGAGTTAGAGGTGGACTGATACTGTAGGTGGATGTACTTCTTTAAATGAGTTAGAGGTGGACTGATACTGTAGGTGGATGTACTTCTTTAAATGAGTTAGAGGTGGACTGATACTGTAGGTGGATGTCCTTCTTTGAATGAGTGAGTCGGTGGACTGATGGTATATGTGGACATACTTCATGGTTTTGAATGAGTTAGAGGTGGACTGATACTGTAGGTGGATGTACTTCTTTGAATGAATGAGTGGTGGACTGATACTGTAGGTGGATGTACTTCTTTGAATGAGTTAGAGGTGGACTGATGCTGTATGTGGATGTACTTCATGGTTTTGAATGAGTGAGTGGACTGATACTATTGATGATTGTACAGTTATATGTATGACACTGTTACAACTGTATGGTCAAGTGGCTATATGTCTGGCTCCATGGCAAATTGTGATTATTATCCTCCGTCCGGCAGGGAGTGGATGGATGGCCCCATGGGTGGTGTAGACCCTGATGTGGTGGATCAAGAGGTGGGCAACATATGGCGAGGTCTCTACAAGCTGGAGAAACAGTTTGATGGTATTGCTGCTCCCAAGAAAATAACAGCCAAGGTATGTTTTCGTAACAGTGGGATTGTATATGTCTGCAGCCAGTTTGACAATATGACACGATAAAAGACCTGTTATAGTACTGTGTGACATACATTTTCATTGCAGTTTCACGGTTTGGAATTGTCCTGAAATGTTCTTTCGATTCTATGGCTCAATTGTGTATGCAGGTGAAAGGCAAAGTTGAAGAGTTCAAGGAAAACATGCCCCTCGTGCAGACCATCTTCAACCCAGGCATGAGGGATCGGCATTGGGAGCAGGTGTCCGAGATTGTCGGATACACCATCCGTCCCGATGACTCGTACTGCCTGTCCAAGTTTGTCGATATGAACCTGGATGCATACATTACCAAGTTCGAGGGCATCTCGGAGGCAGCCAGCAAGGAGTACTCTCTTGAGAAAGCTATGGAAAGCATGAAGGGAGAGTGGGCTCCGGTAAGTTCTCTACTTGACACTGGTACTGTCCACTGTATTCAGGGTTCAAATAAGTTTTCAGCAACCTATGCTTGTCTCAAGAGCTGCCCAAATCGATAGGATAATCAGTCTGATCGATTTGGTTAATAGCGTAACAATGTACCTTGATGCTGTGGATGAGTGCTCATGATATCCATCACTAGATTGTAACAGGCTTGATTATTTACTGACTGTTTATATGACTGTGGCTGTAATATTTCTTAGTGCAGCTTTAAACAACAAACACAACCATCTTCAAGTTGATATATAAGCCCCCATTCTTAATCCCAATCAATAGCTGCCAAATGTTGATGTCGTATTGAGCAATAACTAGTCCGTCATTCCATTTAAAAAAAAGTTACACAAATAGGCTTAGCTCCATATGTGATATTTTGTTACTCATAAACATCTGGTCAGTGTAGTTTGTACTTGGTGTGACATATCAAACTCACATGCATGAGACACATTGCTGTAGTACATAACATTTCCAACCTGTGTAATTCCAGATTGAATTCACGATGATCCCATACCGTGAGACAGGAACGTCCATCTTGTCATCCATTGATGACATCCAGCAGCTGCTTGACGACCACATCGTCAAGACCCAGACCATGAGAGGCTCACCATTTATTAAGCCATTTGAGGCAGAAATAAAGTAGGTTTCGTGCCTCCTTAGCCTCATTTTTACTGCAGAAGTTGAGAATAGTCAGAAGCTTAATGCAGTTTTACTATACATTCATAAAGCTGTAAACTAAGCATCTTATCAGCAAGAGGGCCTCACTATAACATATATGATGTGTGGTACGAAATCTGTTCAGATAGAAACAAATACTTTACAATCATTAACCAAATTGTCATTGTTTATTGGTAGATATCACATCTTACAGATGCTGCAACATCTCATGTTTCATGTGAAATACTGATGTACATTTCGAAATTGTCTTCATGTCAATGCGTACTGATGCTACATTTGATTAGTAAAGTATTGAAAACACATAGAACCTGCATGCTTATCATAGATACATTTGGTAAGTGACCTTGATCTGGTGCCAGGGACTGGGAGTCGAAGCTGATGACCCTGCAGGACATACTGGACGAGTGGCTGAAGGTGCAGGCTACCTGGCTCTACCTGGAGCCCATCTTCAGCTCCCCGGACATCATGGCGCAGATGCCTGAAGAAGGACGCAGATTCACCACTGTCGACAAGAACTGGCGTGACATCATGAAGTCTGCCATGATTGACAAGCATGTTCTGGCCGTTCTTGATATTGACAAGATTCTTGAAAGGCTAAAGAAGTCAAATGAACTTTTGGAACTTATCCAGAAGGTAATGTGTTATGTGTAAGATACAACAGAGCAGCCTTAGGGACCTTTCATTATTTATGGCTAGGTGGGGTGATGATGAAATTTTTATTTTATTTTATTTTAATTTGTTTTGGGGGGACCCACCCATTTTGTCCTGGGGAGGAAGGGGGGTCAATTTTGTCCCCATGTAGGGGGGGATTTTGTGCATAAAAATATTGGAGGGGGTCATTGATTTTGATAATCACCCCCCTAGCCATAAATTATGAGCAGTCCCTCAGTCAAAGGTTTTATCCTGAGAAAGTGGATTTTAAGTTTCATAAAATCCAGAGGGAAATTATCTGATATTACTTATACACAGAAAGAAAAATCTGACACAACATTTATCAACAATTGTATGTTTCAAAGACACTTTTCATCAGCCTCTGGAATTGGACATACAATCTTTACTTTAGAAAGAGAATCTAAAGTATTGCGAGGTAGATGGAGGTTGATAATTTGAAATGATATCATATTGTAATCTGGCTTTGATGGATATCTTTATGATAACAATATCCATGTTTAGGAAGATCCCAAGCTCTGTGATGCTGACTAATTAAGCTGTTCATGTGGTCAGGCTCACTGACTTATGTGGTCATGTGTGGCTGTCACTAATGGTTGGGGACATTTCTTATGCTTTCTTGATTGTCTCTTCCCAGTATGTGCTGACTGTGCTGTTCTAGATGGTATGTGTATTAAATTTTTGTTACTTTGACATTGTTTTTATACAGGGCTTGAATGAATACCTGGAGAAGAAGCGACTCTACTTCCCCCGTTTCTTCTTCTTGTCCAATGATGAACTGTTGGAAATCCTGTCTGAGACCAAAGATCCTACAAGGTAAACTATTAGTATTAGAGTATGGCACTGTTTTATTCTATTCAGGGGTACCCCATCAGTAATGTGATGACCAAGTAGGCTTGAACCAAGAAATATTTTATCATTTTATCAGAGTGCAGCCCCATCTGAAGAAATGCTTTGAAGGAATTGCATCTCTAGAATTCACGGATGTGTTGGACATCACCCACATGAAGAGTAGTGAAGGGGAGGTGGTTGAGCTGCGTGACGTCATCTCTACGTCCAAGGCCCGTGGTCAGGTGGAGAAGCATGCTGGAGTTGGAGTGACAGAGTGACATACAAGGTAGGAATTCATAGGACACAATTTTTAGGACATCAGGAAGAGGTAGGAAATTAGGGATGAACTGGCTGGCAATATTAGAGTGACTTTGACCACAACTGGAGTTGAGAGTGACATGATAAGTTCATTAAGCACAAGGTACAAAGGGAAATTAGAGATGAACAAAATTTGGTTGAACAATTTTTTAGGACATGTTTAGTATCTGCAAGGTTGGGATTGTCTCACAGTTGCTCTGTTGGGATTACAAATTATTGTATGATAATTACTTTCTTCAAGGGTAGAAAATTATTGAATGTCATTTTCTCATGACTTCATGATTTTTAAAATGGCAGCGCTTCTGCCCGAACATCCGCCAGTCTGAGAATAAATGCTATTTAGGTTTGTATACACCGAAGTTACAAAATCAAAACTACTTTCTACTGGTAGTAAAATATGTATTTGATTGATTGCCAATAGGATTTTGCATGACATATCTTATAATAACAATTTCTCTCAGGAAGTGAGGTGGGTGTCAATATAATACTACTTGCAATATTATTGTCACTTCGGACCACAATCTCAGCTGATGAGGAAGAAATCTTTATGTTACAAGTTGTGTCATGGAAAATCGTTTTGGTCATCAATCATATACATATGACCAGCCTTGTTCTCTCTAAACTTGATTACTTCAACTCCCTCAACAGCTCCTTTCACAACTCCAATTCAGAATTCAGCCGACCGTGTTGTTGCCCGTGCACCACGCTACCAAACTGTGACACCTATCCTCCAAACTCTTCACTGGCTTCCTGTATCAAGCAGAATTCAATACAAACTTCTTCTTCTTACAAACAGCTGCATCTATGAAAACATGTTTTCTCAATATCTTAAAAGCCTCATTCATCTCCATGTTCCAAGCCGATTGCTCCGTTCGTCAAACTCCCTACTGCTTACACAGCCTCACGTCAAAACAGCCATGGGATCAAGAGCGTTCTCTGCTGCAGCCCCTATCTCTGGAACATTCTACCACTTGCCCTAAAAGAAATAGAATCTGCTGGACGCTTTCAAAACTGCCCTCAAAACTCATCTGTTCAAACTCTCTTTTCCATAGACATTGTCTCACAATCTTTTCTCTTCATAAGCGCCATTGAGCAATATCTTTGGAAGTAGGCTCTATAAATCAATTATTATTATTATTATTATATTTTACTACAACTAGCAAGTAGTTTTGATTCTTTAACTTCCGTGAAGCGATCTGAACACAAGTAAGATATCGTTCCAGGCTTCCACAACGCTCGCTTCGCACTCACAAACATAACACATTTAGCACGAACTACGGGGCCGGGTGGAAGTCAGTGCATGGTGACACCATCCCACTCGACCCCTAGGAGCAATTGACAACAACATAGCGATTCAGCATGTTTTGTTGACGTGAAGAAATCAGCAAAATGACGAGCTTGTTACACACTAACTGAAAATCCATCCTCACATGACGTCACTTCGGTTTGATGCAGTGCTCTGGCGACAGAGTTATGTAACCTGTCTGTGGTTTCGTTGGCGGGCGAGAGTGAAGCAGGCGACTCTTTGGCAACTTTTAATCGCTCGGTATTAATTAACCACAAGTTTTTAAAGAGCGAAGTATGTGTTCTGCTCAAGACTAACCACAATCGTCTTTCATATGTAATGGTTAAAAGAGTACAAAAACAAAGTTTATTTGTTCTTTAACCCAAGATGCAATGGAAACTTTCTGTGCTATGTTCCCACGGGGTATATAGCGTTCATTCTGTCCGTCATTCGTCCGTCCGTCCTCCAAACTTTGTCCGGAGCATATCTCTTAAAGTTTACATGCTAGGTTCACCAAACTTCACACACATAGTAATCATTACCCATTTATGTGCCTTTTGCTATTTTAAAGTTTTTTCAGAATTTAGTTTTTTTGCTGTTTCCATGGAAACATGATTTAGGCTGTGACTATGAGGATGTCATCTTGTCCGGAGCAGATCTTCCAAACTATACATGCTAGCTTCATCAAACTTGGTACACATATCAAGCATGATCCCTAGATGTGCCTTTTGGGGTTTAGATCCAGATATGAATTGTATTTTTTGCTGTTTCCATGGAAACACGACTTAGTGCCAAATGTGTTTGATTATTTTGTCCAGAGCATATCTCTTAAAGTTTACATGCTAGGTTCACCAAACTTCACACACATGTTAATCATTACCCATTGATGTGCCTTTTGCTATTTTAAAGTTTTTTCAGAATTTTGTTTTTTTGCTGTTTCCATGGAAACACGACTTAGGCTGTGACTATGGGGATGTCATCTTGTCCGGAGCAGATCTTCCAACCTATACATGCTAGCTTCATCAAACTTGGTACACATATCAAGCATGATCCCTAGATGTGCCTTTTGGGGTTTACATCCAGATATGAATTGTATTTTTTGCTGTTTCCATGGAAACATGACTTAGTGCCAAATATGTTTGATTATTTTGTCCAGAGCATATCTCTTAAAGTTTACATGCTAGGTTCACCAAACTTCACACACATGTTAATCATTACCCATTGATGTGCCTTTTGCTATTTTAAAAGTTTTTTTCAGAATTTTGTTTTTTTGCTGTTTCCATGGAAACACGACTTAGGCTGTGACTATGGGGATGTCATCTTGTCCGGAGCAGATCTTCCAACCTATACATGCTAGCTTCATCAAACTTGGTACACATATCAAGCATGATCCCTAGATGTGCCTTTTGGGGTTTACATCCAGATATGAATTGTATTTTTTGCTGTTTCCATGGAAACATGACTTAGTGCCAAATATGTTTGATTATTTTGTCCAGAGCATATCTCTTAAAGTTTACATGCTAGGTTCACCAAACTTCACACACATGTTAATCATTACCCATTGATGTGCCTTTTGCTATTTTAAAGTTTTTTCAGAATTTTGTTTTTTTGCTGTTTCCATGGAAACACCTATACGACTTAGGCTGTGACAATGGGGATGTCATCTTGTCCGAGCAGATCTTCCAACCTATACATGCTAGCTTCATCAAACTTGGTACACATATCAAGCATGATCCCTAGATGTGCCTTTTGGGGTTTACATCCAGATATGAATTGTATTTTTGCTGTTTCCATGGAAACATGACTTAGTGCCGAATGTGTTTGATTATTTTGTCCAGAGCATATCTCTTAAAGTTTTGCTAGGTTCATGCTAGGTTCATGCTAGGTACATGCAAAATGTATTTGATGGTGACCTGACCACGGCATATCATCTAACTATACATGCTAGGTTCACCAAACTTAATACACAAGTTAATCATGACCCACAGATATGCCATGTGCTAAAAATAGCAATCTTCATCTACGTCCATTGTGTGCAACATGACACACTCAAGTTCAATTACATGTCAGGTTTCCACGGAAAACACAAAAAAATCTAGTTTCCATAAATTATTACCATAATCAGTACATGCCAAAACTATTATCTAACATTTATATAAAGTTTAGTAGAGTCAAAGAGAAAGTCTTGTGAGCTGCTGATCCTTGTGACATTATATATATCAATATCAGTCATTTCCATGTCCCAAAGTGGGAAGCGGGGGGTATGTGAGCTTTGCTCACTTCTACACTTGTTCACTATTTTGCTTGATTAGCTTGAATACTATATTTCCTGCTGCACCAATTTCAGGTAATTGCCGAATCTCAGGACGCATACATGAAGACACCCAGGGGAGTGGGTGAGAGGCTGGTCTGGTCAAGCTGTCCTCTGTGTATCTCAGAAATACTGGACATCATACATCCATGAGTCCATCAGGAAAGGCCCAGAGGCCCTTGCCGACTACCTGAAGGTGAACAATGAACAGATTGATGAGATTGTAGCCCTTGTCCGTGGCAAGCTTTCCAAACAGCACCGTGTCACCCTGCAGGCTCTGATTGTCATGGACGTCCATGCTAGAGATGTGTTAGCCCACCTGGTGGAGACTGGCGTCGAAAGTGAACTGGACTTCAAGTGGTTGAGTCAGCTCCGCTACTACTGGGAGGTGAGTTGCTGAAAGAAATACAGTGCTGAAGACTTAAAGAATGAAGAAGTTTTAATCCATAATTCAACCCTGTCCTAAATATGACAATTTAATGGTATGTTACAGTGTAAAATGTTACATCCTACTTCATTGTCAACCTTTTCTCTGTGTTTTCAGGATGATCAGATGGTGACCCGTATGATCAACTCCATGCTGAAGTATGGCTACGAGTACCTTGGTAATACTGGACGTCTTGTTATCACACCTTTGACTGACAGGTGTTACAGGTGAGTTTACATCAGCATTTCATGAAACATATTATGCCAGGGTTGTGCAACTGACTGTAGGTTTGAATCCCAGAACTCCACCCTTGGGTTTTAGTCTGGCGATCACTACATTTCAAAGATGTATACGAACATGATTGTATAAGTTATGTCTGTGGTGCCTCACTCTGTTTGTACCCAGCTTCATTGATGAGCGTTAAATCTCTCATTGTTCTTAAAATATCAGTGCCATTGACCGAAGTGAAACTTGTGACTTTCAGTAGTATTTGTCTCTTCTTGTCATTAAAAAAGACATTCATGTATGTTATATGTCTTTTATTGATTTCATTTACTACATAAGTTGTATTGTGAGAACATTGCCTGATAGGTATAATAATCATTTGTTAATAATCCAATGAGTATGAGAGCTGGAAGATGTAGATGAAAGAGCTAATGTTGGCTGCTATGTTGTGCCCACTAGCCATCACATTGCACTGTTTGTGTCTCAGTGTACCTTTATTGGTTACCAACCTTACTGTCCACATGGCTATAGTGTGGTTGTTATATTTCAGAACCCTGTTCGGAGCTCTACATCTTCACCTGGGAGGAGCTCCAGAAGGACCGGCTGGAACCGGAAAGACAGAGACCACCAAGGATTTGGCCAAGGCTGTTGCCAAACAGTGTGTCGTCTTCAACTGTTCAGATGGTCTTGACTACATTGCTCTGGGAAAATTCTTCAAAGTGAGTGGCACTATAAGAATCTAACAGTTATGACAGACAAGTGGTGAGTCAGGTGACATAGTCCTACTAGGTTTGCTGGGACTGTAATTGGTAACATCATTCATCTGTCTATTCCAGGGTTTGGCCTCCTGTGGTGCCTGGTCCTGTTTTGATGAGTTCAACCGAATTGATCTGGAAGTGTTGTCTGTGGTTGCCCAACAGATCCTGACCATTCAGAGAGGTAAACTATTGTGGTTATCTCATTTTGTATATCCTCTGTTGTGAAATCAGTTTCTTTGAATGTCGGCATCATGCAGGGATGAAACTCTTGTGTCATACAGTATGTCTGTGTTATACAGTATGCCTACGTATCTTATTAACAGTAAGTCTGCATTTGCATGTGGGTTGTCTTCTGGAACAATGTTCATTTCCTCAGATCTCAGTTAGAAACATCAGTACAGTGAGTGGATTGCTGATGTTGTTCAGTCTAAGTAAACTAAGGCTCAGTATTATTCGTTACACTGCTATACTGAGTCTAACAAAACATAGTAGAAGGTCGAGTCAGCTAACCTTTGAGCGACCTATTACCGTCCAATCAAACTGGAGACGGCTGAATGGATTTAACCAATCAGACAACAGCTACTTGTTAGGGTTTGGCGGGACTTCAAAATGGTTTTTGGATTTTCTGTTCCCTGGTTGCTGACACTGATCTTACAACAAACGAAAATCCGAATAAAACACAGATATTTGACCTGCAGTATTTACGCTTATGGGTTTCTAATGACATGGTTAATATTTGCTTATATTTTCGCAAGATGACATCCTTGAATATTGACAAAAACGCCATTTTCAGCGTCTGTTTACTCATTGCGTGTATCACTCGGAAGCGATCGTGCAGAAAATAGCATTCAGAATTTTTGAGTTTTTTAGGTAAAGGTTGAAATGGTATGTGCGAATGTTTACTTTCGCAATTTAGTAAGCTGTGTTCTGATTGGTCAGTCCAAAAGGTTAAGTGATGCGAGGTTTTGTTAGACTCAGTATAGCAGTGTAACAAATAATACTGAGCTTAAGTTTACTTAGACTGTGATGTTGTTGGAACAGTGTCAAGTTAGATCATTTGAAACATCATGATCATAAGTCTACACATGATGTCATTTGCAATTGTCCTCTTTCAAATAGTAAAACTGTTAAAACTGTAAAATTGTTATAGTTGTTTGAACCGTATAATGTTGATACGCAGGTATCAGTGCCGGACAGGACACCTTGTTGTTTGAGGGGACAGAGATCCATCTGAACCCAACCTGCTCTGTCTTCATCACCATGAACCCAGGTTACGCTGGACGTTCCGAGCTGCCAGATAACCTCAAGGTAGGCTTCAACATGGTTCAGGTGTAGCTGGATTCTGTGTGTTTTAGTAACTTCTGAACAGATTGGAGTTGAATAATAAAATGTGAGCCTGTTTGTATCAAATCAAACAAAGTCCTTTCTATTGTGAGAGGTGTCCTTTTGAGTGAAACTCCACAGCAAAGTTTGAGATTATGAACAATTTTCAAGAAACAAAACATTCTGTGACAGCAATATATTGTGTATCCAAGGTCCATATAATGTATTAACCCTACACTCCAGGGACAGTGAGGTTATACAGTGGTGAAAGCCTCTGCTTGTCATGCTGAGATCCACACATGTCAGTATTGAATGAAAGCCATGACATGTGTCCACTTCTGTGGTATTGCTTATGTATTGCTAAAACCATGTTCACCCACTCTCTCGCTGTACACTTTCACTGTGTATTGGTCACATGAAAGGAGGAAAGTGTTTTTTGATAGTGCTGTCTACTTCCAGGCTCTGTTCCCGAACTGTGGCCATGATGGTGCCGGACTATGCCCTGATTGCTGAGATCTCGCTGTATTCCTGCGGCTTTGTCCAGGCCCGCCCGCTCTCCGTGAAGATTGTGGCCGTATACAGGTTGTGTTCCGAGCAGCTCTCCTCACAGCATCATTACGATCACGGCATGAGAGCCGTCAAGTCCGTGCTCACTGCCGCTGCAAACTTAAAGGTATGGTAGTCATTTCAACTGACTGATAATGTTTCAGTGTGCTTGATTGTTTTAGTTTTTAATATTCATTTCGATGAAGTACTAATATTAGGCATTGGTTGTCATCTAAGTTGGACTGAGAATGTATCAGACAATCCATTGTGTGATTACAACCACCATAAGTCAAGGATCCGTGATGATCCAGGTGATGCTGTTCTTGAGCAACTCTTTCTTGTAAGAGGAGACCAACAGATTGGGTAGTCAGGCTAATTTGGTTGATGCATATCATTGCATCCGGATCGCATGTATTGATGCTTTCATATCAATCACTAGATGGTCCCCACTCAATTATTTACAGCCTGTTGTCATACAACTGAAATATTGATGAATGAAGCATTAAAAGCAAATACTAGATGAAGATCAATTAATGCAAATTTTGATCAATCATTCCTATCTACCCATGGGAAACAACTCTTTACAGTCTGTAGAATAAATGGATGACCTAACTAAGGATGAATAAATACTATTGAGAAATTTAGATTGATTTAAAAATCGGATGTGTGAATAAAAATATTTCATTAAAGACTGAAGTGATCTTTAGAATAATTGATTGAAACTATATTTGATGAAATATGTTAAGCATGACGTTCAGGATGAATAAATGATGAAGGGTTAACAAATGAAGGAGTAAATGAGGATTAACGGATGAATGAATCTTGATTAATCTTCTCCAGCTGAAGTACCCAGAAGAAGATGAGAATATCCTGATGCTGCGGTCCATCATTGATGTCAACCTCCCCAAGTTTCTCAACCATGACTTGCCGCTGTTCCATGGCATCACATCTGACCTGTTCCCTGGCATCAAACTGCCGACCCCAGACTACGAGGTCATCAACCAGGCAGTGGCCGAGGTCTGCACCAGGATGAACCTACAGTGCACAGACTTCTTCCTGGAGAAGATCCAACAGGTTAGTACCTCTTTTCTCAGTAATTCTGATTCTACGGAGTCTTCACAGTTAGATTTATGAAGTGTTTGACAATAACATCCCTGTCTCTGACACCAAGAGCTCGGTTTAATGTTGCTTCTCGTATTTGACTAACTTACTTCAGATGTGACTTTTTAAGGACTTTGTATTATGAAAATGTGAACCACTTGAACTGAAGTTAAGGAACTGTTGAAAGTGAGTGGATGGATGGATTGAAGGATGGATGGATGGATTGAAGGATGGATGGATGATGGATTGAAGGATGGATGGATGGATGGATGGATGGATGGATGGATTGAAGGATGGATTGAAGGATGGATGGATTGAAGGATGGATGGATAGATGGAAGGATGAATGGATGGAAGGATGGATGGATTGAAGGATGGATGGATGGATTGAAGGATGGATGGATTGAAGGATGGATGCATGATGTTTTCTGGTTATGTGTTGTAGATTTACGAGATGATGATTGTGCGTCACGGTTTCATGATTGTGGGAGAGCCATTTGGTGGCAAGACATCAGCATACCGTGTTCTGGCTGCAGCTCTGGGAGACATCCATGAGAAGGTAAGCACCAGCTCCATCTTGGAGAAGATGAAATCTAATTACAGAGTAACTTGACAAAAATGAAATGGCACGTTTGTCACATCTGAGTTAATTGGAGCACAGGTTACCAGAATGTGATGGTCAATTCTCTAACCTAATAGCAGTGTATGAAATAAGGCCCGTCTGACGGCCCGAGACGGTCTAGATTTCTGATGGACGGTCTAAATTTACAGCTAGCCAGCCCGATGGTCTGGTAAATTTTTTAGATGTTCCATACATCGTATTTAAATTCACCATATTTGGTCTGGTTAAATCCATTTTGGACTGGTAACATTTTGAAGTTACCAGCACTGATGTCTGGCTGGATTTTTGGCTTATTTCATACACTGCTTATAGATGAATTTGTAAGCAAGTCTTCAATTTCTTATACCATTTTGGTTTTAATCAGTGACTAATTCAGGATGATGTTTTTGTGCAGGGACTGCTGGAAGAAAACAAGGTCCAGATTATTGTCATCAACCCAAAGGCCATCACTATGGGACAGTTGTATGGTCAGTTTGACCCTGTATCCCACGAGTGGTCAGATGGTATCCTTGCCGTGTCCTACAGATCCTTCGCCACATCTACAGTGAGTACTGACAACATGACAGACAGATGTTCTCGTAAATAGTTCCAGTCTGAAGCTGTTGTCACCATGCTACAGTGAAAAGCAATGTTGATGACACAAGGCCGTCTATGTCTTTTATACTTTGAATTCCTTTTCCAGAAATACTCTACATCATCTTGCATCTTCAAACTCTTGGTTGTTTTCCTCTTGACGTAATAGGACCAGAGAAGTTAGAGTATCCATCTCATTCATAAACATGAAGATGATCTGTAATAAGACTCCTGCCCAAAGGAACATTTCTACCTAAAATATCTTTCAAAGACGTAAAGAAAGTTTAAACAATATTCTTCTTTCATGTATTGGCCTTGAATTTAAAAAGTGAATTCACAATCCAGTCAGCGTATATGAAAATTTTAAGTACCAGTACCACGAGGAACCATATTGTGAGGAAATTCCTTTATAACCCAGACACTTTTAGCACAAAGTACTCTTAGCACTGTGCTCATAATTAGCTGTATGTTATACTTTTATTAGAATGGTTCTTTGTGAAGTGGGACTCTCTGACCTTGGATATGTTGTGTGAAGAATCCAGGGTTTTTCAAACTCTTAAACTGTTCTCCACTTCCTCCAGACCCCTGACCGTAAATGGCTGATCTTTGATGGTCCCGTGGATGCCATCTGGATTGAGAACATGAACACTGTGCTGGACGACAACAAGAAGCTATGTCTAATGAGTGGTGAGATCATTCAGTTGGCTAACACAACCAACCTCATGTTCGAACCCATGGATCTCGAGGCGGCCTCCCCAGCCACAGTAAGTCTGTTGCTGAAATAGCAGGTTTAGCACACTCACCCATTCATCATACCTAGCTGTTGTGAACTGATGCTGATTGTGATGGATGCCATCAGCTTGCCAGGCCATGTGCATTCAGTGACTTTGAGACAAATATTATGTGCTTTTAGCCATGCGTGTGTCTTTTAGTATTCATTTCCAACCAATGATGTTACTACAAAGGTTACAGGTTCTTTCAGGGACAATCTTTGTGTCTGTTCTCAAACAGCTGGGAGGCATACAATGTCAACACTTGTCTGTTTGCATCAAACTCTGTGCTATAATTGAATGTATATGAGGAAGTCAACCCTCTCTTAGAGTCAGTATGTGTTTTTGTTGAATGTCAGGTGATTGCTTCTTGGCAATTGAATATGGTGGAAATCCTATCACTATTATTTATATATATAATAAAATTATTTACAGGCGACAGTCAAGTGAAATATTTCTGTGTGTAGATATGAGTGCTGTGACTGACATTGTCCTTGACTTCAGGTGTCTCGGTGTGGTATGATCTACATGGAGCCCCTGTCCTTGGGCTGGAGACCACTGGTCAAGTCCTGGATGAACGTCATGCCATCCACTGTCACAGAGACGCTCAAGAGCATCATCAATGACATGTTTGAGAGATTTGTTGATGCTTGCCTCCAGTTAGTCCGCAAGGGAGGAGTCAAGGTATGATAGAAACCAGATTTGTTGAAACAGAATCTCACAACCATTGCGATTTGTCAATATGTGTCTTGTTACCTTGAATTTCATCACGGAGATGAATCATATTAAAATAAGGTTATCAAGAAAGTGAACATCATTCTATGATCCTGTTTAAAGTTTTCAAATATTTGTTATGCACCTCGTGTTTGATAATGCTTTCACTTTGACCCACATGTAAGAAATGTCCTGTGTGACACATTGTTGCTTGGTGTAAGGTAAGACTGCCATATTTAAAAACACTGAAATATGTTGGCCGACGAGTTGGAATGAATAAAAGGTTAGTCGGCAGGTGAGTTTGAGTGAGTTGAATGAAACAGTGACATATTCCTCCCTCGTTACTTCAGGAACTGTCACCAACTAATGATTCCAACCTCGTCAAGTCCTTGATGAACTTGATGGATTGCATGATGGATGAATTCCAAGACGAGGCCAAGATCTCCCAGATGGAGGAGAGAGAGGTCGTCACATGGCTGGAGGTTGGTATTGTCACAGACAGGTCAACTGTTATCAGTAATCGTTCATCGCAAACCATTTCTCGATGCAGCATTCATGTAACCTCTCCTTATGTAATTGCTTTATGTGTCAGAAACAACATCCATTGACCTAGTGATTAATTATGCCTTTTAGTTGTTATAGAATGGAAATCCTTAACCTTGCAATTTCTATTTTCAGAGTATCTTTTTCTTTGCCATCACGTGGTCAGTTGGTGCCAGCACTGATGACAATGGCCGTGTCAAGTTTGACAAACTCCTCCGAGAACTTATGTCGGTGAGTTTTCATGAAGCAAACTCTCATATTTAATGTTCAGATTGAAGGCAGTTTGAAATCTAGAAATGAAATGGTTTTTAAGAAAAAGATTATGTCCATTTTCACAGCAGGAATGTCCCTTAGCCATGCAGGAGTCAGTCTGGGTTTGAATCCCAGGATCACCTTCAATATGGTCCTGTAGACACCATCCCTGTGCTTGTTTTAATCACTGAATGCTTGTCTTCCCACATTAAGTTAAACACTATCATAAAACTGAAACACACCTAAAAGCAAGATTTGAATAAGTCTGATATTTCATGTAAATTTTGATATCCTTATTAAAAAGCATCTGATTATGGTAGAACCTGCTACAAGTGTCAAGTGGTATCTTTGTGCTGCCTGCTGTTAGGTGAGCTAAGTCCAGGGTTTACATGTTGCATGTTGATTACAGGGTGGAATGACAGAGGAGACGAGGATCGCGCTGAGTCTGTTGGAGTTGGTGGAACCCCCAATGAAGCCTTACCTCAACCCATTGCCTCCCAAGGGCAAAGTCTATGACTACAAGTTTGTGAAGGAGGTATGGCATGTTTTACTGTGATAACTGTAGGTTGTGACTGTACCAATGTTCACATGGATACTTCCAGTTGATATGAAGAATGTGCCTTGAGGTTGATGCCACCGTTTTACAAATATATTGTCTTTTGTCTTAAATTTTAAAGCAGCTTTTGCTAGTAACAAATTGATATAACTGAGGCTTTCTGTTGAAATGCTGTAATGATAATTATGAGTGTTAGATGCTCAAAGACATTAGACAGTCTTACATGTAATTGTTACAGTCCGTCTCATGTTATGTCCAGTGATATTGATGATGATGATGATGATGATGATGATGATGATGATGATGATGTAGGGTTCTGGCAAATGGGTACCCTGGAGCGAGGAGATGAAGGAAGCCCCGCCCATCTCCAAAGATGCTGTGTTCAATGAGATCATTGTGCCCACCATTGACACCATCCGTTACACCAATCTGATGAACATGCTGGTGCAGCACAGCAAGCCCTGCCTGTTTGTAGGGCCCACTGGCACAGGGAAGAGCTGCTACATCATCGTGAGTACAACACATGGGCATGTTCCACATCCTTGTCTCCGCTAAATGCACAGATATGTGCAATTGTATACAATTGTTTCTTTGCCTCTGTTACAATTCTTTCCTAATTTGTTGAAGCTCATTTCTGGTGTCCCTCGGCGTGATATTGCTGGAATATTGCTGAAAGCGGCATAAAACCAAACACTCACTCACTCTTTCATAATTTGAAATAGAATGTATGCAAAGCAAAATCCAGAAACTGTTTTAGATCATATTTTCAATTCACATGTAAAAATTGCTAAAACATTTCAGATGACTTATGAACCTTTTCGTTAGCTGCTAACAGTCACTCAGGAGTCTGATATTTCTACAGGTGTCATGAAGTATGATGGTCATTGGTGGTTCCATTCTTTAAGGCAACTCAGTTTACTGTGCAGAGTTCAATGATCATATGTTTCTAGTCCTATTTTTATTGCACCATGATCTTACAATCCACTGTTGTCTTTGTTGCCAGGACTTCCTCCTGAACAAGCTGGACAAGGAGGTATACAAGCCCAACATCATCAACTTCTCGGCCCAGACCAGTGCCAACCAGACACAGAACATCATTATGTCCAAGCTGGACAGGAGGAGGAAGGGTGTCTACGGACCGCCACTTGGCAAGAAGGCTGTGAGTGATCCATTGATGATGTTGTACACTCAGCTGTCTGTTGCTTTACTTATTGTTCAACCTGTCATCATTTGGCCAAGACATTCTTTAAAAGAAGGAAGAAAACTGATATGGGCCATTTACCACAAATCAACTTCAGTGCTATGGGGTTGAAGACTCCCTTTCTTCAATATGGACTTATATCTTAGCAGTGAGGCAACTACCACATTTCAATATAATGCAGAGATTTATTTAAAGGGGCACTGATAAACAATGAAGTCTTCTGTCAATCTGTCCTCCAATGGTTACCAATGGTTCAGACATTATTGTCAACAGGCTGTTTTGATTTAGCTGTAATATTGTTCACTCTCTGGTAAAACAGTTTCACATGTGTAGCAAACTTCTTATAAATTGAGACCCTGTTACATTGTCTGCAGCATTTAATTGCTAACCAGAAATAGTTCCTATAGGAATGGCTAATAGTTCATCATTGCAGTCAGTGAATTAGATTAAATTGTAAAGTTGTGAGTAATTTGTCCGGAATAATCACTTTTAAACATACAGGATCTACATGAAATGTAGTCCGCTGTCACTGATTATTTCAATCTTGTAATCACAGTAGACTCCTTGCACAACTAAGACCTGTCATAATCTCTTTTCTGTGGTGAATTTAATTCAACTTGAATGTAGGTATTTGACTGATTATATATTAACCTAGATAACCTTAGTATGAGTAGTGTGTTTTACCTTCCACTCTTTAATTGTTAAGTCTATAAATCTACCTTGGTTTGCAGATTGCCTTCGTTGATGACTTGAACATGCCGATGCGAGAGACATATGGAGCCCAGCCCCCAGTGGAGCTGGTCAGACAGTGGCTTGACCACTGGAACTGGTATGACCTGAAGGAGGTGGTACCCATCAAGCTGGTGGACATCCAGTTCATGGGAGCCATGGGCCCTCCAGGTCAGTTCAGGCTACACCTGGTCTGTCATCATTTAGTCTTTGGAGAACACTGAAACAGCTGTCAAAACTCCACTGGCCCTTAGGGGAGTGGACTAGTTTTAGTTCATAGCTCTAGGTTGTGAGCTAATCAACTTGATGTTCAGGAACCTTTGACACTTTATAGACATGTCTGTAGTCTGAGGCATGTGGAGTGACAGCATGAGACCAAAATGGTAACGAGCATATTACCAAGACCTTACTGTTTATTTCCCTTAAACAATACATTCCTTGAAACAAGTGTGATGTAACAAAAGCGTTACTTCATTACATAGTAGGTTGATAAACTGAGTTGTGCCCTAGCCTGAGACCTCACTGCTTCCCAGTGGTTCGTCCACCTGGTTGTCTCGGTGCTGTGGGTGTTGTAACACTCATGCTTCATACACAGTGCCAGGGTTGCTATGTGGTAGGATTGCAGCGATCCAGTGATATAACTCTGAACATTAAAGGAACATTACATCCTGATTTCACAGTAATGTCTAGCTGAACTGTCAAACTGAAATGTAACTATTTGAACATTAACAGGAGGAGGACGTAATCCAGTCACTCCCCGCTTCTTGCGTCATCTCAACACGGTCACCATGAATGAGTTTGATGATGACAGCATGACCACCATCTTCAGGAACATTATGGAGTGGCACATCTCAGCCAGGTACTTTCAGCAGAATCTATTTACACAATACTTATTGTGAAGTATCCAGCTTTGATGGTTCTTCGGTATGAATGTAGTTGTAACAGTGGTTAAGGCATGGGGTGATCACAGAAGAAACCCAGGGTTGACAGCCCCCCTATATATATACAATGTTCAAAGACCTTATCTACAGTTATTAACATGTATGAATAAACATTCTGAGTCTAAACAACTGATTTTGCTGATGTGTTTCTTTATCAGTGAAATGTAACTTTCATATAGTTTCCCAGCTAACGTTATTGTGAATGTTCTTGCAGAGGGTTCAGCAATGAGTTCAAACCGTGCGTGGACCAGATCGTGAATGGAACGCTGCAGGTGTACAGAGAAGCCATGACAAACCTGCTGCCCACTCCTGCCAAGTCCCATTATCTGTTTAACTTGCGAGACTTCGCTCGCGTCATCCAGGGCATCCTGCTGTCCACGCCCGACACCATGGAGGAACCTGCATCCATGAAGAGGCTGTGGGTGCACGAGGTAAGGGATTCCTTGTCTTAATGTTACAGTGACCATATCGACAATTTTGTCAGCTGATGTCGACATCTAGTTCAGATCGCATCAACGTAATATTGTATATGTTATGGGTGGGTTGTCGTGTCCTCAACAGTAATCTTAACACTATAGGTTTATGGTCACACTGTAGAGTCCTGTCCTGCTTCATTCTGTCACTTATTTGCCTTGTGAGGCATTTTCTTTACTTGATGCCCAGATGCCACCCAAAGTAAATTACCTGAACTCAGACTCCACAACATATTGTGATAATAATTCATGCTCCCTGGCCTTTTGCCTGAGCGACTTAAACTGCCATCTACTAACTTAAGAAAGGCCTTTTGAACGAGGACAGATAGATACAGATTCCTTATTTCTTTTTCTTGGTCACTGTTTCATGAAACAATTTTAGTACTATCATAAACCTTGGAAGTAAAGGTATGGGGCTACAATCAGAATAGTGCTCAGATTGTATTGTAGAGTGTGGGGGCGATGGGGTAGCCTAGTGGTTAAAGCGTCCGCTCGTCACGCTGAAGACCCGGGTTCGAATCCCCACATGGGTACAATGTGTGAAACCCATTTCATGTGTCCCCCGCCGTGATGTTGCTGGAATATTGCCAAAAGCGGCGTAAAACTAAACTCAGTCAGTCATTCAGTCACTATTGTAGAGTGGGGCCCTTGTGTTGTGTTTCACATCTTACTTACATCCCAACAACTCAAACACTGCACATACCTTGAATTTTGTTCAAGGGAAGAGAAAGTAGTTCTATATATGATTTTCTTTGTTTTAATTCCACTCAACGGCTTGTGTTGCAGTTGTACAGAGTCTACTATGATCGTCTTGTTGATGATGGAGATCGGGACTGGCTCTTTAATTACTCTGGGGAAGTCATCAAACAAAAAATGCGAGAAGACTTTGACCAGCTATTTATACATCTTGATTCTGACAGTGATGGCAAGGTTACTGAAGATGACATCCGTAGTTTAATTTATTGTGACTTTGCTGATCCTAAATCAGACAAGAAGGATTATGTAGAAGTGCGAGACTTGGAGCAGCTGCGTCATGTGGTTGAAGGCTATCTGGACGAGTTTAACAATCTCAGTAAAAAACCTATGAATCTGGTTCTGTTCAGGTATGTTTCCTTGTTTACTTAACATTTCAGTAAATTTGAATGATTTTATCATGTTCATAGATAATTGTAAATTAAATTGAAGTGAAAATGTTATCTGTTTCTTTAAAGATATGAAAATCTGTAGATAAGCGATATCAAAATCAATTGTTCAGTTTTCATCCCCATCTAGCATTATATTATTCCAACAGAATAGATGCACAATATGTTTTTGAAATTAGACTTGACGAGTCAAACATAATGACACTCACAAAGTTTATCACAGGCTTATCCTCTGAACCTATGTTTACTGCAGCAGATGAACATCATTTTAGAAATTGTCTCAATGAAACTTTTTCTTGAGCCATTTACAAGTTTTCAACATAATTTTCAGATTTGCCATTGAGCATGTATCCCGTATTGCTCGTGTAATCAAACAACCCAGAAGCCATGCCCTGTTGGTAGGCGTGGGTGGTTCTGGTCGTCAGTCCCTTACAAGACTTGCAGCTCACATGGCCGACTACGATTTACACCAGGCAAGTAATTGTTTTCTTGGGGAAAATGAGGAAAACTCGGTGTTACGTTATCTCCCCTTGATGTATTGACAATACCTAAGATTTTCATGTGACATTTAGATATCGGATTGTAATTGTCTTGAAAGTTTTGAATGAAAATAGTAAATTATTTGATAACCAAAGAACAAAGTTTATGTGCTGCTTTCGTATTGTTGAACACAAAGGGGAGATAATTCTCAATAAAGTTTGACTATTTCCTTGTCAACAAATATCATATATATATGGGATGATTGTATACCACATCACAAAGCCATGCTTAGAGATTCTATATATTTAGGTGTATACTATGTATATATTGGAATGTTTATATATCAGTCCTTGAAAGATTTCACTATTTCATGATCCCCCAACAAAAATGCAGGAAGTCCTGTTTGTCTTTTAGAAGTACATTCATTTGCAGAAGAAATAGAATGTCTTAATCTGTATGTTCAATACCAGTACTAGGAAGTAGATATGACCGAAATTACTAAGTCAGAATTCTTCCAACAGTAGAAGTAATGTGTTATGTGATAGTAAGGATAAAATTTGTAGAATCAAGATGAAATGTTACTATTTTGGGTTCATATTTTTAGTGTGTTCAGTCTAAGATTGAGAGGGTTAGATTCAGTTATAGTGTACTAATTCAATGTTAATCTGAAATTATTTCTATATTTATGCCCGAATTACACACCAGAGAAATATAAATTTGTTATTTTGAGTACTTAACACATACTAGTGGGATGCTTGTCAGCAGCATATTGGGTGGAAACGGATGAATTTCTCCATGAAATCCTTCAAGGACTGATATATGCATGCATCCTAGATGTCAATATTAGGTCTATGTGTATTTGGTGTATAGTAGACTGTGTCTAGTATTGGTAGTCTCAACAACATCAGCTGATGCTCATCAAAGTGTGATTTGTGTCAATTTGGCTGATAACCATCATTTTCATCCATTCAGTACCATAATGTAGAATATTGACATCCATTCCATGAGGAGTATGTGCAGTGATTGATAAATGATGGTACTTTAGACCAAGCTTGTTGTCGCTGCAGTCCTTTGTTTATGGCTGTGTGCTCTTATTATTTTGTAATATGCTATCAACTTTATTGTTTTGCACTTCTCAGGTAGGTATTTTGGCTGCGCAGGTAGATTTTCGCTCTTATACCACAATGCATCAGAGTTATCTGCTCTTGGCACAGTTTTTCTGGTTGTGCGCGCTCCTGAAACCTCTTACATTATGAAAAGATTTGGTTTGGTATTGAATGAAATCTTTTAATTTTTTGGAATGATTCTTTATACCAAAATACTTTCTAGGAGGTTCTGTTAAGAGTCCTTTTTTAAGAATGTAAACTGCATGATAGACCAAATTTCCACTCTTGGAAGTTTATTATGGTAATTTTCCTATAATTTATAATTTTAGAGTGGAAGGTTAAAAGTACCAAAAGGAATGCAATTTATTTTGAGACTGAAAATTGAGTAAATTATTCAATTGCACTTATCCACATACAAAAGCTTCATTTATGCAATAAACACCAAGTCTAATTATATTTTTTCAAGTTTCACAGTAAGAATTTTATTATTCATCACTTGATTAGTTTTAGGTTTCTGGAGTTTTTGTTATTTGATCATTGAGAGTATGTAAACTGAATTTAAAGGGATAATTCACTCATTGGTTCTAGATACCCTTTTCCTTACAAACAATGTTTTGTTATCCTCTACGTAAATCTCTATGTAAGAGATGTGATCCTAACAATTTCATTAATTTACTTAATTGCAAACTGTAAGAAGCTAATGCGCTTGCGAGTGTTTTATATCAGTCATGTAAAGCATTGCGATTGCTTGATTTGTAACTTATAATTCATGATGTATTTACAGTAAATCATACATGTTGAATTTGAGAGGAATACGTACAAGTTCTACTTTCATGTCATAATACCATAGACCTAATTCAGATCCATCAACATACGGTAGTTGTTCATAATAGATTTCCTCTTTAATTGTGTAAAGATGTGGATTTTCTGATGTTCAAGTAGAACCTGTACTGTATTCCATTACCACCAGAAGTTGAATGTCAGTTGGCTTTTGGTAGTCTGTCTTTTGTCCATAGGAGCAGAACTGCTTCAACACATTTTAAAAGAAATGTTAATAGAAATATTGACATCATATTAGTAGGAAAATGTTGATGAAGAACTTTGCATCAGTTACATGAAGTATGAAGTTTTGTCTTTGACTGTGAAATACCATGTCCTCCTCCGAATTATGGACTGGTATGTCCTTCAGTACCTTCTTTGTGAACTAGTAAGGAGTTTTCTGAACCTCCCTGATACTCTGTTTTGTTTGTGCCCTAGTCTCTTGAATCCCCAATCCCTACCAAAGACTCACCACACCCATCCCACTATCCTCACACCCAAACCCTTATGAAATACCACCACTACCATCCCACTATCCCACACCCAACCTCTACTCAAAACTCACCACACTCATCCCACTATCCCCACACCCAACCTCCACTCAAAACTCACCACAACCATCCCACTATCCTCACGCCCAACCTCTACTCAAAACTCACCACACTCATCCCCCTATCCCCACACCCAACCTCCACTCAAAACTCACCAGAACCATCCCACTATCCTCACGCCCAAACCCTTATCAAATCCCACCACACCCATCCCACTATCCCCAGACTCAACCACTACCCAAATCCCACCACACCCATCCCACTATCCCCACACTCAACCCCTACCCAAATCCCACCACACCATCCCACTATCCCCCCATACACTCAACCCTTACCCAAAACTCACCACACCCATCCCACTATCCCCCACTCAACCCCTACCCAAAACTCACCACGACACCAATCCCACTATCCCCCACTCAACCCCTACCTAAAACTCACCACACCCATCCCACTATCCCCACTCAAGCCCCTACCTAAAACTCACCACACCCATCCCACTATCCCCCACTCAACCCCTACCCAAAACTCACCACCCCCATCCCACTTTCTCCCACTCAACCCCTACCCAAACTCTCACCACACCCATCCCTCTATCCCCACACTCAACCCCTACCCAAAACTCACCACACCCATCCCACTTTCCCACACTCAACCCCTACCCAAATCCCACCACACCCATCCCACTATCCCCAAACTCAACCCCTACCCAAAAACTCACCACACCCATTCCCCTATCCTCCCATCCCCCAAACCCTACCCAAATCCCACCACACCCATCCCACTATCCCCCACTCAACCCCTACCCAAAACTCACCACACCCATCCCACTATCCCCACACTAAACCCTACCCAAATCCCACCACACCATCCCACTTTCCCCACACTCAACCCCTACCCAAAACTCACCACACCCATCCCACTATCCCCACTCAACCCCTACCCAAATCCACCACACCCATCCCACTATCCCCCACTCAACTGCTACCCAAACTCACCACACCCATCCCACTATCCCCACACTCAACCTCTACCCAAATCCCACCACACCATCCCACTTTCCCCCACACTCAACCCCTACCCAAAACTCACCACACCCATCCCACTATCCCCACTCAACCCCTACCCAAATCCCACCACACCCATCCCACTATCCCCACACTCAACCCCTACCCAAAACTCACCGCACCCATTCCCTATCCTCACACCCAAACCTTACCCAAATCCCACCACACCCATCCCTCTATCCCCACACTCAACCTCTACCCAAATCCCACCACACCCATCCCACTATCCACCCACCCATCCCCCTACCCAAACTCACCACACCCATCCCACTATCCACACACTCAACCCCTACCCAAATCCCACCACACCCATCCCACTATCCTCACACCCAAACCCTTATCAAATCCCACCACACCCATCCCACTATCCTCACACCCAAACCCTTATCAAATCCCACCACACCCATCCACTATCCTCACACCCAAACCCTTTTCAAATCCCACCACACCCATCCCACTATCCCCACGCCCAACCTCTTCCCAAAACCAGCTAAACCCATCCCACTATCCCGCACCACTAACACCCATCCCACACACTAGAGTATACCCTATACTTAGACGGAACCAAGCGAGGACAGTTCTACAAGCCTTGACATTCTACTTCAGTAATGTCCTGACATGATCATCTGCCATGTTCCCATGTAGAAGTGGAATTAGTAACAAACCAAGAAAAGAAACAAACATGACAGTGTTGTCAAACATCATTGTTTACTAGCCTCAAAGTCATAAACATGAAGTATTCCTCATGAATCTGTGTAAAATTATGTTGGCACCAAAGGTTCCTGAAAGCTGTAACCATGGTAACTGTTATGAAAGCACTGGCTCTATACCCATGACATGTTCAAGTATGAGTGAGATTTTGACTTCTATATTGGCCTCCAGAATGTAAGTCAGCTTGGTGAAATAAAACAACAGTTGTTTAGCCCCTCCAACATGCACTTCTAATGGGAACATATTTAACCACACTCTCTCTGACAAACACTTCACATCCTACAATTCACTTCTGCTCTTCTAAACTGCATGTATATAATTATAAAAGTCATGTCTTCATTTGATGATTTCATAAATGAAATGAAAAATGAAACCTTTTTAAAGCCTGGAGCAGTGTACTGATCAAGAGAGTGTGGTATTTCATTGTCTTTGTCATGCATTTGTGCTGATGTCAGCAAGATACGGTAGATTGAGTTTATATTCCTTCGAGCTTGACATGGTTCCTGTACAACAGACAAAGGCACCGGGCAGCAAGGTGGGTCATGTGACACAGGTCACCAGAGGTCATAGGTCACGTGACTGGAATATTGTACTTTTCACATTCACACCATCATGGGTCAGAAATGATTGCATTATATTATGGTTAGATATTTCTGTGAGGTTTTGTTATATTGAAACACAAATTGTACCAAAATTGAATTTGCAGTATAAACTTCAATGCTTCAGTGACTTGCTTCAA